GATAATACCCCGTATCACCGGCTCTTTGGAGAGACTGGTACCCATAGCAACGTCCCGTACCGTAGTAACGGACGAGACATAGTTGGCAATGGAACCCCCAGAGAGTTTCCGGGTCTCTCGCAAGTGAGACATGAAACGAGCAATATCCTGCACAGATACCTTATCTGGCGAATGAATGTGATGTTTACAACACCACTTCGTGAAAATAACCCAACGTGCATTATACACCTTCTGGGTAGAATCACGATGCATACTAACGTATGCCCGAGACGCCCGGCGAGAAAAACCTTTACTCCTCAGACGCTCGGTGACAACATCCACGCGTGCAGATTGAACTGCCCTGCGTTTGGATGAAGCTGACGGGTGTGAGGGTGGATCAAGAGATCAGGTCTCACAGGCAGTGGGAGTGGCGACTGCGTGACCTGGGTCAGCAAGTCGGGGTACCACGATCTGTTCGGCCACATGGGCGCGATCAGTAACATTCGACAGCGAACTCCTCGAAGCCGGCTTAGAATATGTGGTATCAACGCTGTCGGCGGGTAAGCATAAGCGTCCAAGCCCGTCCAGTCTAACGCGAGAGCAACGGGAGTTGAATGTTGAACCGCGTTGCGAACAGGTCGACCATCGGACGACCCAAACGTTCACACAGCCACTGAAACACTACTGGGTTCAGCATCCACTCTGTGGGGCTCGGATCCTGAGGCCTCGATAGAGCATCGGCCAGTACGTTCCGCACACCTGGGATGTGACGGGCGCGTATCTGGCACGGGACACTGTCCACCAGAGCGTAAAACTCGAACGTGAGATCGAGTAGCGAGTGACTGTGGGTTCCCCCCAGTTTGTTCACATAGGACACTACCGTCGTGTTGTCGGTCGCCAGCATGAGCCGGGCGTCGACGAGACAATGCTTCCAGTGATTGACTGCGTTGATCACTGCCTTGAACTTGAGACAATTGATGTGAAGACCTAGTTCGTCTACGCACCACAGCCCCGAGCTCACCTCCCCCTCTAGATGGGCGCCCCAGCCCACTAGAGAGGCGTCTGTATACAGGTTCAACGTGGCCTGGTAGGGCCGCACAGAGACTCCTGATAAGACATTGTAAGGGACCGTCCACCACACCAGATGCGGTCGGAGCCGATCCGGGAGGGCGACGGTCGCACTGTTCACCTCCGTTGCTAACAACTGGATTAAAAACCGTTGCAGCGGGCGGAGTTGGAGACGACCCCGTTCGGTGCAGTCCTGGGCCGATACAAGTAGCCCTAACAGCTGTTCCCAAAAGTGAACAGTCTGTTGCACCGCTAAGACTTTGGCAATCATCGCCTGAATTTTGTGCCACCGGTCTGGGGGGACAAATAGGCGATGGGACACCGTGTTGAACCGACCTCCGATGAACTGCAAGTTCTGAGAAGGGGTTAACTCGCTCCAAGAGCCGACGTGCAAAAACGAGATGGCGTGACAGGGTGTCCGACATTCGATTTGCTACTAGCGAGTCGTCCAGGTACGCGAAGTACCGGACACCCCTCCGGTGGAGGAACCCCACTATGGGGGTGGTTAACCGGGTGAACAGCCAGGGAGCAGATGAAAGACCGAATGGGAGTACAACCCACTCGTAGTGCCTGCCTTGAAAGACAAACCTGAGATACTTGTGATGATCCGAGTGAATCGGAACATGCAGATAAGCATTTTCAGGTCGATCGAAGCTAGGCAGTCGGCCGGCATGATCAGTGCTTTCAGGTCCATCAAGCTCAACATTCTGAACTTGGGCGGCTTGCGCAGGTAGAACTAGTTGAACGATTTCAAGTTGTGAATCATTCTGAGTTCGGCACTGTCCTTCTTGGGAACGAGAAATATCCTGGAGTAAAACCCCGGTGTTATTTCTGGTAGAGCTAACTCCAGAACTGCCCTCTTCTCCACCAACCTGCCGATGGCATCGGCGAGAAAGGGAAGATCGGTTTCCGAATAGAAACCTGCCGACGGGGCAACGGTGAGCGGCGGATTCGCTTTGAGATCGAGCCGATAGCCGTACCGAATCGTGTTGACCACCCACGGGTCGTCGAACACTTGTTCCCAATTCTCCCAGTAAGTCTGGAGTCTGGCTCCCACTGGGTTAAGAGAGGGGGGCCGGACGGGCTGCGGCAGGCGCAACTGTCCAGGGCCAAGTGACTCGGGTTCGCCTACGGGCCAACCGAAGTTGGCGCTGTCGGCATACGAACCCCTCCAATGAGAGTCACCTGGAGGGGCCCTTGCCGTCCTTAGACGACTTGGGCTTCCCCCAGTTCCCCTTCTTCCCGCGAAAGGGCTGCTGAGAACCCTTACCGGAGCCCTCAGCGCGGGGCTTCTTCCCGGAGGAAGAAGGACCCGACCCCTTAGGCCTGCCGGACGCAGCATCCTGGGGCGCGCTCCGCTTCGGAGCGGCACCCAGGCGCCTATGCAAGGACCCCACAAGATCCAGTGTGTGCCAAGAGGCCTCTGCAGACACAGCGGCCTGTTGTTCCTTCAGAACCCCAGGGATCTTGTTATTAAACAGGGTCCGAGCAGACCAAGGCTGCGAAAGGAGCACCTCCTGATTGGCAGCGTCCAACCCTGAAGCAACCAGATACGACTGGCGCCGAAGAAATGGCCTGTGCCGGAAACAAAGGCTGAAGCCCCGGCAACGTACTCCAGGGAAGCATTCAAACCGAGCAAGCAGTTGTAAATGCGCTGGTCTCGGTCCGTAGGAGAACCTTCGACCAGACTGGCCGCTGCAGCCAGGTATGTGTCTCCGTGAGACATTGCCAGCATGGAGTGTCGAGCGAGGATGTCCAGCTGTTGCAAGGTACCTTGTGGACCCCCAAACGCTCCACATGGGCTTCCGCAGAAGGACCAGCCTCGGGAAAGGCAAGGTCATGTACTGGGAAAGACCCTTTTCTCCACGACGGGGGAGGTAACGGGAGACCCCGACCGGAGGCAGCCGTGAAGGCCTTCTCCAAAGAAGGCTTAATCCCGCGCAGCAAGGTTGATGCCGGGAAAGCCTTGTTGGACGTCTCGTCGTAAACCTCGGAGGAACCCACGGAACCGTGGATTCCCCGCGGTATCGGCAGGGGCTTTGGCATGTCCTCAAAGAGGTCATACACCATGGCCACGCGGTCCTTAACCGATAGCGGAAGCAACGATTCGGGGGAAGGACCGTTAACCACAGCAGCCGCCGCCGTACCGGTGGACCCCGCGTCCGAACCCGCGGCCACCGAAGAGGCCGGGGACGGAACAGCCAGCGGCCTATCTTGCGATTAGGCCGCCAGCTTGGAGTCCACAAGTTTCGACAACAATGCGGCCACGGAATCCCCAGACAGCCCGAGGGCCGCAAGGGGATCCTCCGCAGCCGAGGAGGTGGTACCCGCACGGGGACCCCAACCGGACGAACCGGCCACCACAGGGGTGGAGACGGACTGTACGTACAGCCGGTACCGCTCAAACTCCGCAGGCCCCAGACCTTCGCACAGGGTGCACCGGGTGTCCCCGCAAGGAACCCTGCACAGCGGGCAACGATCGTGGGGATCCCGGGACGACAAAAACTTTCTGCACACCCCACAACTCCGAGGAGCAGGGGTAGAGGGGGTGGATACTGGGGACATATCCATGTCAGACATTGATTGTTTGCTATAAACAAAGAACAAAACATGGTTACAACGCACGCACCACAATGATTCACAAACGAGCATTTTCACAAGAAAATAAACGAGCAATGTGAACATATAACATACACATATAACTTTTATTAAAGAAATAAGTTATGTTAACCCCCAAAACATACAAGAACAGGGGAAACGTAAAACACAACGTGCATACGCAAACCCCGCAAGTATATAGAAAAAAGGGCGGGAAAAAGGAACGCTTAAGCAGTCTTGGATACACGTCTTGCTAAGCAGACGAAGGAGACAAGAGTGAAGGGTGTCACATGGCAGCTAAGTGGCTACGCACGTGCTGCATGAGGTAATTGAGATCTCTGTGGTAGATTTCGCTATAGCAGCAGTTGTGGGAGACAACAGCCTCGGTATAACAGTGGTAACGTATTACTTAATGTAATTCATACATTATTTATATTTATCAATTTTTAGTTTACTTTTAACTTATTTTAAACAGTTCACACATTATTACTTTTGTCGTGCACGGTGCAATCTCAATCGGCAATAATCAGTTTAGTAAGTGATGTTTGAAAGTATCATCTGTCATTGTACACACTGAATAGAGTTATCGCCCCTTCTGAAAATTTATTTTGACACACGAATTATTTTCATAATTAACATTGTAATATGTTAAAATGAAAATCTTAGCAGAAAAAGTGTCTTTTGTCAACTGGACTCATGGCAAAACGATAGTGCGTTGTGCAGCAAACACCACTATGAAACGTGAAATAAACATGCATGATCTCAATCTTGATCTAGAGTTCGCCAAGCCACGCATTGACTGAGCAATTTTGCACGGTTTATTTACGATACAAAACTTCTGTCATTGAATGTACTGTCACATTGTACCTATATGCCGACGAGGTTATGATAAAACAATCTAATTCTGAAATACGTATCTCGAAATGCACCTTTCGATTCACTTCCGGGATCCTGACAGCAAAATGCTAATTCCAGTGTATTAGAGGCATATTTTATTTGGACCTCATGATTTAATGTGAATTATCTTCTGTATTAGATACAGAGGATACCATTTTTGTTTTGTTTAAAATGTCCATCAGTGAAATGCACAACATGCTGTCTGTTCCCTATGAGCTGATGCGACTCTCACTGCATGGAGCTATGCTTTCCAAGCCTCGTTTTCGATCCAAGATGGCGAAAGTGTGAAAAAGGTCAATAGCAGCAGTTGTGGGAGACAACAGCCTCGGTATAACAGTGGTAACATATTACTTAATGTCATTTTTTCAAATTTTAGGGCTAACAGCACAAGGTCCCACCCTAGAATTACCCCTCTCAACACCATCAGACACACCAGGTGAAGCAATGTGTTTGCCTACCTCGACCTTCCTGTCTATGTTTGTCACTGTCTCGAAGTAGTCAGCCAGCTTCTTGTGCCACCAGTAGAAGGCGTCAGGCTTCTCCTCCCGCTCCAAGCTGCCCTCATTGTTGTCCTCGTCCTCCTGTACCGGGACGTCTTCCCGCTCCTCCGCCTCCCCCTTGCGGAAGTATCTGCAACAAAGGCCAATACATGCATCACTGCGGCTGTTGAATAAACACGCTGAAGGATGTTCTGACATTTTCATTCAGCTTCTAAGCAACTGCTGCACATTGTGCTCAACACCCTGTGTTATCTTGATATACATTGAAATCTTGTTGTCAAAAATCCTGAACCTATTTGGAACAAATATGTAGAAGACAAGGGACTTTACTTCGTACATATGTTTCGTTAATCTGGATATTTTTTAATCCGGACAATTCACTAGAAATAGTACAGGCCAGATTAACAGTGTTTCAGTCACTGGAGGTGTGAGATCAGTGTAAAGCCACATTAAGACAGTATTCCTCGTATACCACAGCTCGCAAGCAGAGGGTGAAACCCAGTGTGATGCCAATAATAGACCATGTTCACGAGGCAAGGGAGTTAACTGACTATAAAAGTCCAGTTTCCACCCTTGACGAACTAAACTGGAACTTTGAAATCCTTCAGTCTACTAAATATGCATGTTGAAACCCATGTTGGATATGAACCGAGTGTCTAGTTTGTTACATGATTATGATGGGACTATGCATAGACAAAATGTAACTTCGAATTCCAGCCTAGTTCGGCAAGTGTGGAAACATGACTTAAATTGTCAGTGAACGTCCCTGCCTCGGGGAGATCATAAGAGACTTATCAGCAAGGGTATCTACAGTCACACATGGGTGACAAACAAAAGAAATGTCCTTGCATGATCAGTGATCATTACTGTTGTTTCACCTCAGAAATTGACACTGTAGGTTGCATAATTTTCCAAGTATCCATATTGATTACTTAGTTTCTAATGACAGTTTCCATATTGTCCGCAGTGATTTTATCATTTACTTCTGCAAGTACCAAAATATCCTTTTATGGTCGGGTGAAATTATATCCTTTTTTCATTTCTAATGTTTCTCCAGAATATTTACAGTTTTTGTTGTAAAGCAATGCATTAGTGCCTGCAAAATCAGTTTCTTGTTACATACATTAATGTTGATTAGAACTTACTTTTTTCTAACTGCCTTGCTAAGAGCTCTGTGGTAGAAGTCCAGGCGCCCCTCCTTACTGTCACCATAGGGACGTAGGAAGGGACGTAACGTGGAGAAGATCCGCATCCACTTCCTGTCTGACAGTGACCCCCTCTGCTTCACCTTCTCCTTTTCCGAGCACTCCTTCTCCTCTGCAAGACCAAACATTGTGACTGTTACTACACCCAGGACATTTGAGACCTTGCTCCTATGTGTATATCGTCAGTGGGGATTCTGTGTTAGATGGTGCAGTGAAATGGAGTTTAACGTCACATTCAAGATTATTGCACTTATATAGCGACACGTGTGTGTGTGTGTGTGTGTGTGCGTGCGTGCGTGCGTGTGCGCGCGCGCCAACTGAGCCAGATCACTCAGATACCGTGCCGCAGTTTAACATGAATACCCCACTCAGACACAGTATACTGATTCTGAGCCTACCAGTCCTTGTTTTAGCCCCTTAATGCCGAGCACCAGGCAGGGTAACAAGAAGTACCATCTTTTAATGTCTTTTGATATGACGAGGCCTGGGGATCAAAAGCCCTGACCTACTGCTCTCTGGACAGACGCTCTACCACTAAGCATCAGTTATCCCATGGCATGTAAGTTATCTCATGCATATCAGTTATCTCATGGCATATCAGTTATCTCATGTTATGTCAGTTACCTCATGGCATATCAATTATCTCATGGCATTTCAGTTATCTCATGGCATGTCAGTTACCTCATGGCAAGTCAGTTTTTCATGACATGTCAGTTCTAAATGTGACACTAATCATAGATACATTAACCATGTTAACACTTGGTGAAACCAACAAGCACTGCCAAATCATGTTTAATCAGGAAAAACATAGGAATTTAACCGCAGATCATTTGATTCTTGCATAGTGAGGGTATGAAACTAGTAAGGACCTTAGACAACTGGCAACTTGTGTCCCCTTCACAGGTACACTGGTCCAATTGTACCAACCTTTCTCATCATAAGGTGAGGGCGGCATGAGCGAGTCCTCGTCTCCAAGTATATCCCTGAGTTCACACTCCAACAGTCCAGCAGCAGATGCCTCCAGCAGACACAGGGTGGCCACCAGTAGGCTCCCGCCATTTTCATGTTCAAGCCGGGTCAGTAGATGCTCTAACAGGCTGAAGGAGACACATAAACTATATACACAACACTTATACCCATGACATGTAACAATTAACTGAAGCTCATTTGTTAGTACAGTGTAAACAAGATATAACAAGGCTACATTATTCTTATCAATGATTAATGCCAGAACAGGGAAATTTGAATTTTCTTGGAAATTTAAGTATTGAATAACTAGAGAGCACACGAGACTGGAATATGCCATGTGAGTCTTCAGTCCTATTCCAAAAGAATGAGCATTGTTTTTCATTTCAGTCTGCAATATCCCAGCTACCTTTCTAACACAGGTTCCTGTATTAATCTATGCTGGGCCAAAATCTTAACTGAGATATAACAGGAGTCTCTAGTAGCCTCTAACAGCCTCCTCAAACAGAAAACACAAACGAAAGCATTGTTTAGCTGTAGCAAGAACTAAGATTTGAGTTGAATGAGATTGATGTTTTACACATTCTGGGTAAGCCATGCGATAACGACATCCACTACTCACTTGAGGAGGCCATTGGGAAGTGCCACAATTGTTTGTGAGATGAAGTCAGCATCGTCCAGCAGGCTGAGCTCCTCACAGGCCACAGAGAGCCACAAAGGGTTCTCCGAGGACTGCTTGTTCAGCAGCTCCTCCAGCTGACTCCCAGGAAGACGTTTGTCGTAGCGCTTCAACATCTCACACACCATGCTCTGAAATGACGATGCTAGGGTCAATCCAAGACACAAACTCACACAAATGTACTGGAACTGTATTTATATACTACACAAAAAAGGTTAAGGACCACTCGATTCTTTCATATTACCATAGTTAATCTGTCATGGAAATCTGTAATATAAAAGAATCGGATGGTCCTTGACTTTGTTTGAGTAGTATAATTACATAATGAGCATATGTACTTAAATAAATGAGTCTGCGGAGTTTAATGTGAATTTTTTTCTGAAATGATCCATTTTCTTTATTTGGCTATTTTTTACCAGGATATCCATCTAAGTAACAAATTACTAGAACATGTGTTTCCTACAGTTTGATTCATCAAGATTCAGCTATCACCCATATCATGCATTCCACATCGATCCACGCAATTAGGATACGATGACATGCATCAACCAAGTCAGCGAGCAGAGTTGCCTTATACAGCAAGCATGGGTTGCTGAAGACCTATTCTAACATGGATCTTAACGGGTAATTCACTAAATGTAGTGTTATGCATTAGTGATATTAAAACAAAAGTATGAAGTGAACTCTTAATATGGAAGTTATTTGTGAGGAGTACTGTACAGAATACCATGCATACCATGAATACCATTCCAACAAAGTACCCACCTGGCGAGAGGCATGGTCGAGAGGTTTGATGTGGAGCTCAATGGGTTTGGTTTCCCTGCTCATCAAGGCCATGTGATGATCTGTATTGTCTATCATTGAAAATATACATCGCACTTGGGGGGCCAGTTTCCGTGGTAACCAACTCAAAACTCTTGCTGCCTGTTCTTCTGCAAACTGTAATCAACATTTGAACAAAGTGTAAGTTACAAATTGACAATAGGCTACCATAGTCAGGCAAGTACTAGTAAGTTATTATTGCCAGTAAAGAATAACAGGCACCTTTTATGTAAGATCTTGTAGGGGGGCACAGTGGCCCAGTCATCTAAGGCACCACTATATCTGTACAGAGTTGAGTCATTGGGCATGACAGAAACCTGGGATTGTGGGTTGGAATCCTGATTCGCCCTGATCATGTTTCTGGGAGTGTCAGCAGCATACTCGTGCTTGTGGGTTTCACCAAAGTGGTAAACATCTGAGAACGGCATCACTTCCGGCTTAACTCCTATATCAACTGACACGCCATGATATAACTGGAATCCTGTTAAAGGAAGCATTAAACCTAACACACTCAGGTCCTGTAAATGTTCACTTTCACCCACCTGGTTGACTGCATCAATGAATATGATGAGAGGCCGTGTGTTGGGATTAGACAACACACTACAACACATCTGGGCTGTGGCATCCAAGTCCTTCGGCATGTTACTGGAGTCCTGAAACAAGCACCTGACACTGACACTGTCTCCATTACACACAATACTTGAAACCTCATTGGTATGTACTCTGTCAATCCGGAAAACCCTTCTTCCAGACAATAACTGGTGGAAACGTCATTATATAGTTAAAGAACATTACAACTAACCAACTAATGATTTGCAAATTTCCAAACGATTTCACAGGAACTGCACCATTCAGACTAATGGAGTACTGCCAAGTTTGTTTCACCCATCCACAATTATGCCAGGTTTCAGTTTATTATTACAGCGATACAACATTCTTTTTATAAACTGATCCTGTAAAGATTTGGGTTAAAATAGGTCTTCAGCAACCCATGCTTGTCATAAGAGGCGACTCTGCTTGTCCTAAGAGGCGACTAACGGGATCGGGTGGTCAGGCTTGCTGACTTGGTTGATGCATGTCATCGATCCAAATTGCGTGGATCGATGCTCATGATATTAATCACTGGATTGTCTAATCCAGACTCGATTATTTACTGACCACCATCATATAGCTGGAATATTGCTGAGTGCGGCGTTAAACAACCAACCAACCAACCAATAATGACTCTCAGAAAAGCAACTTTATCACATTAACCCAATTTTAAAGTTCTAATAACAGAAAAAAACACTGGAATGCTGCCAAGTTACCAGTCTGAGACAAGAAGATACGCCTGATGTAGTATTGATAATAACAAAGGACATATTCATCAATGAACAAACCTTGGCAGCCTCCACTTCTCTCAGCAGTCTCTTCAACATGGGTTCCAGTGAGGTAGAGCCTGGCACCGCACCCACAAAGTGATAAAACACATGCCACGCCTTGCCACCCTCCCTGTAACAGAGGCACCCTGCATGTTAGGGGCTAACTAACTATGCCATACATGCTGAAGTTTCATCACTTTAAAACCTTGGCTTGCAAAATTAAAGTAATACTACAAGAAACTGAATTTACCTGTACAATTCTTTACATGTACTCTGGTCAACATTTCATACCCATCACATACTACATTTCACAAAACATTAATGTCAATGAGAAAATCTGAAAAGTCGAAGAATCACCTCTTTTCGTTATAAGTCATATATATAAGCCATCAACACTTAGGAATCAACATCATATTCATGTGAACACAACATTTTGCTGTCTGTAACACGACCATGTATATAATGTGAACACAAGAAAGACTGGAGATCTCTTGCCTACCCTTGAATCTCTCCTTTCTCAACCTTGGTGAGAATGACATCGGCCGCCTTACACAAAATGGACGACTTGCCACATCCTGGGCTCCCCAGTAATAACAAAGGCACATCTTTGTCTTCATGTAAAATATAATCTTCAATCTGAAACAGTCAAATGAATAAATAGGTGGAATCAATTAAGAATCTTGGAAATACGTGTTCAAAATAGAGTGTACAAGAGTTCTTAAATGATGATACATTAATGGAAAGGACAAAGGTAACAGTCATAGGAGTTTGGATGATGCCATTTTAATCATTATTATTTTTCCATCAGTTGAATAATGTGGGGATCAAAATAGAATTGTTAAAAACATCAGCGATGATGATTATCATGATCAAGTGTTACCTTCACAACAACCTCATTTCTCCCAAGCACCATCTGGCTCTTCTGGTGGAGGAAGTCCCGATGTGCAGCGTGCACGAAGCTGTCAGGGTGGTTGGAAACCATGGGCTCCTCCCCGCAGTAGTCGTACGCCACACGCTGCTTCAGGAAGTCGATAATCTGACAACAAGACAGTACCAGTCATACACGCAGCTTCAGGAAGTCGATAATCTGACAACAAGACATTACCAGTCGTACACGCTGCTTCAGGAAGTCGATAATCTGACAACAAGACAGTACCAGTCATTCACGCAGCTTCAGGAAGTCGATAATCTGACAACAAGACACTACCAGTCGTACACACTGCTTCAGGAAGTCGATAATCTGACAACAAGACACTACCAGTCGTACACGCTGCTTCAGGAAGTCAATAATCTGACAACAAGACAGTACCAGTCATACACCCTGCTTCAGGAAGTCGATAATCTGACACCAAGATGTGAAGTGGATAACAACATATTCGAGCAGTGAACATACTCGGGAACTGACTTGAATGTTTTTTTACTCCATCAGCAATATTACAGCCATTATACAACCATAATACAGCAGAAAGTAAACAACAGTGGTTGAATGCAAGAGTACTGGCAGGGTACAATGACAGCCAATCAGTATATTAATTTGTTGTTTATGTGCATATAATCAAATCTGGGCCAGACAAACCAATAATTGACATAATGAGCAACATCCTACACAGTCAGGGTTCATACACAGAACACCATGTGAATGAGTCTGACCACCTGTTCCATTTAGTATCCTCTTATGACTTTGTTTGTTTGTTTGTTGTTTAACGACGCACTCAGCAATATTTCAGCTATATGCCGGTGGTCTGTAAATAATCAACCAAGCATAGTGGCCTTTTACGGCAAGCATGGGTTGCTGAAGACCTATTCTACCCCGGATCTTCACAGGTCTCTCCTCTTATAACAAACAGCAGAGTGATGTGGGCCTGTTCTAACCCAGGTCCTTCTTGATCCACACCACCAGTGAGTGAGTTTGGTTTAACACATCTTTTAACAGTATTCCAGTTAGGTCCCCTTAATGTGGGAGGAAAGCTCAAAATGTTACACGTCTCAGATATTCTCCACTGAGCATGAGTATGGTGCTGACGAAATTAGAAACAGAATTTGGGGCGAACCAGGATTCAAACCCACAATCATAGCACACCATCAGTCAGGTCACACATTATTAGCAGAAGTGATTACCACCTGATCCTAATTAGTTGGTTGTTGTGACAAGCATGGGTACTTGAACTTAAAGGTTAACATATGGATAACAATGACAGATCTCCATTCCTTACCTCTTGTTTAAGTTCATCAGCTAGTTTGATCTGGGGTCTCTTCTTGTGATCAATCCCTTTGTACTCACACTTATAGTGCTTTATTCGATGACTCTGAATTATAACACAATCAAACATTAGAATCAAAATATGTACCTGAGGGTTAATAAAACTCTTGGACTCATGACAATCTCATTAAAATCAGATCTTAGTTCTCGCTATCACTAAACAAAGATCTGAGGACATCCCATTACAGGTCATGTCAGAACAACCTTTCATTCGACCAATCAAAGCGTCATGCAACCTCGAAAACGTTAACATGGTGTATTCTGATTCCGTCACATCTATCTCTCGGCTCCCCAGGATAAACATTTGAATGGAGGAGGCATTGGTGGGAAGTACTGCCATACAATCTCAACCATATATTAGACATTCCGGAATGTTAGTTTGTTCAGTTTTCAAAATTTTAATCGAGAACTGTGTCAACATATTTTTCAAGCATAGTCTGAAATGGAAGTCGCCAGGTTGAAACGAGTGCCTTAAAGCTCGAGAAAGCTGCTTTCTATTTGGCTGATGTTGACTTATTAGTTATTTCAGTGGTCGGTCAAAGTTCGCAAAAGTTCATTCTGATGTGACCTGTAATGGGATGTCCTCAGATCTTTGTTTAGCGGCAGCGAGAACTGATTTTAATGAGATTGGGACTCATGACTTTAAGAGAAGCTAGCTGATGAGTCACAGTGAGTGAGTGACTACATGTTTAATGCTGTAGTCAGCAATATTACAGCCAGATCATGTCAGCCTATTAACAACCAAGTCTGGGACAGGTAAACCATGGTTGACAGCATGACCAACAATTAACACCAGTGAGATATATGATGACACACTATCATCAAAGTCACACATTGTTGCCACTTAATCCTCATTTTAGTCAGATTTTAAACAAGCAATGGGGAACTTGGGGCTGTTTCTGACCCAATTCCAACTAATGTCTCATAATGAAAAGAGGCAGCTTACCGGAAACTTCTGTGATATTTTGTCATGTGGTCCACAGATTTTCTCTGATGCTGAGGTCCTCTGTACAAAATTCTTCTTTCCTTCCTCACATACAGATTCAAGAAAAGAATCATTTCTGATGAGAAAGATAGCTGAAAAATATAATTAATGATAAAATCTGTTTATATACTTGCATAAGATATTGATAAATAGATGCCCAAATTAGTTGAAAATGTTTTAACATAAAAAACAGCAATGAATGGCATACATTGTAAGGGGAGATAACTCACAGTTGAGATTGTCCTCCCTGTACGCTCCATACAGGACTTGCAGGTCCTCCACAAGAAGGCCATAGGCTTCAATATAGTCCTCTATCACCTCATCAGCATACTCCCCCCACATAGGCACCCAACCAATAGACTCACTACAAATCAAAATATTTTTATTTGTAAGGATAATCACTTGCTTTGACTACGTGAAAAACATACCATTATACTTGTCATCATGTTTTAGGTTTAGGGATCATAATACTAAATGTTCACACTCGTCAAACTGAGAAAACAAATCCATTGGTGAGCACTACACATGCTACAGTTCAAGGGCTGATACAGCTTTTTAGACAAGGAGGGGTACATTTTGTTATTTGGCAATTTTCATTCATTAACCAATAAATCATGTAAATTTATGGAAAATATATCAGCAAATGTTTTATAACCAAGCATCAATGAACCTTCCAAATGTAATAATGTTCAGTTTGTTTGAAAAAGGAAGGTGCATACCCATGTACACCCTCTTCGATCAGCGTATGCAGTTTTGCTCCCTTAATCAATTCTTTGTGATGTTAGATATAAAGAGTGACAAGATTCTCTATACATTCTTTGAAATGATGATAGTACATCTTTACTTTTCACACAATTATCAACATGTTTCCACCATATTTCAAGAAAGGATTACCTGGTAATATTGATGAAGAGAGGCATGATATTGTTGTAGTAACAGTTCTCAATGCTGGTCTGAGCTCTCTCCAGCTCCGACACTTCCCGGCGGTCGGGATGCCGACCCCCCTGAAATGGGATTAATATTAACACATCATATGTGTGATACAATTGGGGTTTGTCATGAACAGGATGAAAGCACAAGAAGTAAACATTAAACACAAATTCTTATTGAATTTTAAAAAAACAATTCAGAACTGCAACTCCTAGGACATAGACATTTAAATTTTGTGCCTTGATTTAATATGCTTAATGTAAGGACAGTTTGGAAGAGTTGATGCCGTAACCAGCAAGAACAATGAAAAACAAAGTGTGGTTAATTTCACAGTAAAACATTGTTCTATCATGACATCAGTCTGGAGATTTGACCATGCGCTCACAACTTGATGATGCCATAAATTGCACTTTATTTTTGAGAGGTCGGATTGTATTCAGGGAGTCATCAATTATGAAATACAAGTAAATATTTTGCAAAAGTTTGTACATTTTATTGACATCCTTAACATGCTTAAAGAGGCTGTACAAAATGTTGATATCTCATATAAGAAATAAACGACTAGCAGTTGTTTTTCGTATATAATAAACCTCCAGTGACGTCATCCTATTGTTCTCCAGTCGGAATAAATCTCATAAACAGGGATGATATAATATCCCCAGGATTTTGTATAATATCCCGGTGATATTTGCAATATAATATGTTATAATATCCCTGGGACTTTATTAATACAATGTCCATTTATATTGTAACATATGAATGTATCTCACTAGAAATGTATTTTGCATTTGAACACAATGTAATGAAATGTAAAATCAAATGACAAATGTTTTCTTTATCATGTTTATATTCCTGCAGATCGAACATGCAACCTTTGCATCTGTAGCCCAGTGAGTGTACCACAAGGCTTCAGATACGCTAATAAATCACAATGCTTTTAAGAATGTCTTTTTCAAGTACCCGTACGCCAGCAACAGATATTTTAGGTCCATTAACTGAGGTTCATGGAAAGTATGTTTGAAACATAAAAATGTTGATAAATGCTGTGTTAATTTTCTTTCTTCGGTTCATAAGTTAGATAAAACACTTACCCTCAGGTTTTCATGAGATTAAAACCTTCATCCTCGGAATAAAACCGAGGGGTGTCAGTCTCTCGGTTTTATCCCAAGGTTAAAGGTTTTAAATATCATAAAAACCTGAGGGTAAGTGTTTTATCCTATACATAAATTAATGATGGGAAAATAAACCATGTGGGGTGCATTATATAAGAAACAAGAAACATCATGTGTACTTACCCATTTGATTGCATGCTCAATTAGGTTCAGTTTCTTTTGCTCACACCATGCTCGAACCTCAGGTAGTATCTGCAAATTTATGGTGATTTAGATAACAAAAAATAGTTTAGGTTTTGGAAAACAAGATGGCCCCTTGAAACAACACTGATTTTGTTTTCCATCAGGAATCCTTATTCAAATTTCACTTTCATTGAAATAAAGTATACATATTTGTAGGTAAGTCATTAAGGAAGCAATTGGTATATAGATTTAAAATATATTTTATGATTTGTAGACAACTGAAGATTCAAAAATGCAATGTAAATCCTACAGCACCCATTGGCAGACTTTTCTTACTGCACTGGATGGTCAAGACTTGATTATTTAGACTGCTGTCATATAGATGGAATATTGCCGAGTGCAGCGTCAAACAACAAGCAAGCTCAAATACATACCTCTTTCCTGATTATCTCCCTTTCAGTAAAGAACTCATCAGTGTAGGAGGTAATAAAGAGTTTCACATTGATTACCTCACTGATGGATGGTTTGGAAGGTGAGACAATAGGGGCAGCACATGCCATAGCGTCAAAGCATTCCTGTAACAAAATCACAGTAGAAGTCAGCATGTACTGCTTCACAATCTCATGGATGCATTTGCTGCAGAATGGCAGTTTCATATACATGATATAGAGGAATGAAGTTTTGAACAGATTTCTGTCGGAAACATTTTAAAATAAATTACATTTGTTACTAATTTATCAGTGGGCTCATTGACAACATTTTAACAACTTGGTACATACCAATTATCATGAACAAGTGCAGGCCTTGAAGCCTTGAAGGATATCATATCACCATTCTATTAGGAGCAGTGGGTGTTGACTAGTGGTTTAAGTGTTCGCTCATCATGCAAACGGCTCGGGTTAGATTCCCCATATGGGTACAATGTGTGAAGCCAATTTCTGGTGTATCCTGCCATGATATTTCTGCAATCTTGCATAAAGCAGTGTAAAACCATACTCACTCCATTCTATTATGATAAACAGCCATTTACCACAGATCCATTTTGAACCCTATTTGAGATAGATGCCACTACAAATAGCCATCCAACGCAATTACACTCACATGTTCAAAGCGAGGAAATGGTGATGTCACTTTCAAAACAAATAGGTCCAGGTTATTTTTCATAACAGAAAAGAGACACCACTCCCTGGATAATCAAGTCTGTGAATGCACTTGAATGTTGCTAATTTCCTCATGCTGTGATCATGGTGATATGTCGTTCATTCTTGATGCTCTGAACTCTCTTACAATTGTACATTAAATTGATAGTTTGTATTATTTCAATATTGGATTGATATCTAAACATCTAAAAGCATTAAGAATTTTAGTATACCACAAAATAAACTCATCAACACTGATAGATTTCCATTTAAGGCAAGCTTATTGTTTCAAGGCACAATTTCTACTTCATGCAATTTAGACAGGAATATATTGATAATGTGTCTGGGAGTTATCAAGGTTACTGACATTGCTGGCAACCAGTGTCAAATTCCTTTTCTCATACTTACACCAAATACACCTTTAGCAAACACAAAAGCTTCAGCTACATCCACTCAGCTTGGGATAAAACAAAATCTGTGTGATCCCTCAAAATCACCTCATAATGTATCCAATATATATTATTCACACGAGAAACATTTATTACCAATCCTTGTTGATTAGATTTGGTTTATTTTTAGCCAACTCATAGTGACAGATAGTTCTCTTCAATTACAAATCTTGTGTTGCTGTGTAAATAAGTACAACACATTTCTGTTTATAATCATTAGGCCTAGGTCAAGTATTCAGTTGAAAATGTATTTGCCTACATTGATCATGTGGATTGTGTGTTTGACTCCTAACCATTTAAAAAAAATCAACATTATCTCCCAGTAAGCATTACATAAAATAACCCAAAACAATCCTCATTAGCTTTGTCAGTCATTTTTTATCTCCTTTCGGGTACAATCGTTCAAGTTAAATACATATAAAAAATTTCAGAATTCACTAACTATAACAACAACAAAATTGTTTATATCTTAACAAAAATTCTCAATATCTTTACACACTTACAAGACTAAAATGAATAATGACATATCAATGTACAAAAGCCAATCACAGAAACACGCATGACAATTCCATTCTGTCAATGAGAGACCTAATCAGTTATTTTAATTCAGATTGACAATCATAATCAGCTTATCCTATTTCTTTGTTCTGGATAGGTCACAAAGGTTGTTTTTTTACAAATTTATGTTTTCCTCTAACTTTGAATTTTCAGAAAATGAAAGATGACAAGAAATAAACATTACTCAAGGGACTTTGGTTGCCGCTGTGGACCTTCGCTCGACCGAAATGGATAGGCCTAATATTCGTGGTCATGTCAACAACCGAACATTTCCTTTGCACGAAAGGTTCAAGGATAAACACGCAAATTCACGCATCACAATTTAGTCATATGAGAGCATATGCTGGTTTCATATATCAAATACTTTTAAGATACTGTATTTAAAAAGCGTTTGGTAAGTATTTGTTACCTTGTTAGCATGAATGTTACACCATTTTGGGATAGTCTGCTTGCGTTTCTCAACACTGAAGAACTCCTTGGTCAAACAGAGTTATCGTTCTTGGAGCAGGTGCCCCTTCATGTTAATGTTGACCTAAGCACACTATTATCGAGGAGAAAACACGCGCCTTTCATATTTTCAGTGTATAAGCTGATCTTTACCCTAAATTACATTTAAAAATAGAGTCATGATTCCAAGTACACAATGCACAATGTGCACAATCATAAAATACAAAGTAAAAGCGATACTAGACTTTACAGAATACTTGAATCCATACAAATTATCTCATTGTGAAATAATATCAGTGATGAGTACGTATCTTATATCTTATATATGGGTTATATAGGTCCATGGTATGATATGGTAGCAAACGCTTTCCCATTTTGACTTCAGTTAAAATTGCGACATTTAGGCTAAAAGAAATAATAGTCTCAGTTCTCAGGCACTGCCCACATCATCATAAAGTTCATTGCAGGTTTCGTTTTTGTTTCCATTTTCATTTTTTTGTGCATTGTGTGTAAGTATTAGGATTTATATTATATTTCTATTTTTAAATTGAAATAAAAACAAAACGTGCGGCGGACTAATGGTAAATGCGGGTGGTGCCTGAGAACCAAGACTATTATGTTTGTAGCCTTAAGCATGTGGGATTGCAGCAGTGGTTGGCCACAACAGACTGATTACTAGACATTCATATTGGGGACCTGCCTTTCTGTGCACCGGATAGTTATCACAATTCCTACAAATATTTTCTATTAAAACAGACTTGGTGTCTATAATACACGCACACATAAACTTTCATTTTATGTTGATATTGTTACAATTTATATATATTTGCCTGGATCGTATGGCCAAAATACGTTGGAAGCCCATTTATGGTGTCCCCCGCCGTGATATTGCTGGAAAATTGCTAAAAGTGGCGTAAAACCATAGTCTCTCACTCACTATGGCCAAAATACACTGCAATACACAAATATACATTGAAATATTTAAAATGACATATGGAATTTATTTTAGAAACCTACATCTCTTCTTTTACATGTTATATAAGATTTCACTCAAACACTTTTTAAGACATAAACACAATCTCTGTCCTCCCCAAGAGCTGCGTGGTAGCCAGGTAGATCAAGCATTCGCTCGTACGCCGAAATTCGGGGTTCGATTACCCACATGAATTAATTGTGTGAAGCTTATTTCTGGTGTCCCAGTCATCATATTGCTAGAATATTGCTACAGCCATACTCACTCACTCAGTCTACCCTCCCAAAGGATGCAAAATCATGAAAATGGTTACCAGTGAAACGGAGCCGAATATATGGACACAAGGGCTGGTTCTTTTTGACCGGCATGAAAACCACATATTTGTAATATTTACAACATTTTAAAGACAGAAATTGTCAAATTTATGACCCTGATACTCTGATACAGATTCTCCACTGACCACACCCCGACCTTGAAATAAACTGCACTCTGTTTTATTTCACACAACGGAAGAATCTGTTGAAATAGTTGTGTGTTTTATTTTGTCCTCTTTTTGGCATGTTTTTGTAACTTCGGAATTTATGTTGCTCCTTGTGTTAATTGTATTGCTTGTTGTGTCAAACGTATTGCTTATTGTGTTAATTGTATTGCTTCTTGTGTTAATTGTATTGCTTATTGTGTTAATTGTATTGCTTCGAGTGTTAATTGTATTGCTTACTGTGTCACTTGTATTGCTTCTTGTGTCAATTATATTGCTTCTTGTCTTAATTGTATTGCTTCTTGGGCGGGTATGTTTACTTGTTTGTTTCAAAACGTCACACTCAGCATTATTCCAGCATTTATATCCCCCCCCCCCCCCCCCCCCCCCACACACACACACACACACCTCTCCCCACCCACCCTCCATCCTCTACAACAAATGACCAGTCCCTAATCTATGAAATACTGAAAAAGACGTAATTTATACATGTAAAAAAGAACACTTTTTCCTGAAAAAGAATAACGGGTTACATTGTTTAATCAAATCCGTACTGCAGGATTGAACGTGTTTCGAAATGACACTTGTCACGGATCGAACTACCAGAGAAGTGAGGGTTGCACTTTACACCGGAAGTGACCTCTGACCTTCACCTGGGGAAAACATGGCTGTGCATAGCAAACTCACGCCAAGGAATTCAGCAATTGTCACGGCCATAGGTGTGGGTATATACCTTGTCTACAAAAATGTCAACTTCAAGAAGACGAGAAGGTAAGAGTAAATTAGAATTTGAGTTTATCATTACTTTTAGTCATGGCATTATTTTGACACTGACTGCATGGATGACCAACCACTCGTTCGAGGAGAAGCAAAAGCTTGTCGTCTTGACAGTAACGGTCGCCTCGGCGAGTTTCTGAGTCAATGCATGGCTGGTGGCGATGCTTAAGCGTTCAGTATTGTATTATTGCTTCAAAGACTGATCTTATAGGTGGTTATGATTGATTTGTTCCGAAGTGACGTCAATTTTGATCACGCAAGACTGAAGTGATCTACCTATTAACCGGCTTGTTGGCCCAGCCTGTGGTAGCCTAACTTACTTTTACATCAGGAAGCATGTCATGTCTCGCTTTCAATATTGAAGTTTAGCTAAAGTGATAAGATATAGCAAAGTTACATTTCTCCATTCTTGTTGCAATAGAAACAAGTATGGTTATATAAGGAAATGGTAACCTAGCTATACCTTTGTAACAAGCATGACAAGGGCATGCCCTACCAGACCCTTGATAACTTAGATAGGATAAGTAGGATAATGTGTGATAACTGGACATAATAGCTGTGCCAGCTGATGAACCAGAGTCACGTTACATCATTCATGATCCTTTTAAGAGTATCAATAAACTTGCTGTGTGGCAATAAACTACCCTTTGTGGAAGACATTTAGCTTATTCACTGGACACAATATATCCATAGATCATTGCAAATATGGACTTTGACTTTTATCTACTTTTACTGCATTTCTGACACCTGTGGAGTTTTGCAGCCAAGATTTGTATATGATTCCAGCAATGGTGTATTTAATCATGATAATAATTGCCAACATAATTCTAATCCAAATCTAAACATGGCAGTCATGGTAACCATGGCTGATTGGCCAATAGCTTGAATAAACAAACGGTCACAATGTCTTTATTTGACAAGGACAGCTATAATTTATTTGTGCCCCACCCCCTCCCTATTCATATTTTATGAGCATGGCGTATCATCCTTTCTGTTCATTTACTGTTAACATTTACAGCTTTAGCTCACGTGACTGTTGCATGATGATATGACTGTATCTGAAATAAAGTTTTTGATTTTTCCTTATGATTGAAGTGTTTCAAACATGTCAAATAGACATAATCATTAATCATTATTTCTACTTCTCTTTTCCAGAAATCAGCCAGATATCAAAGTTGTCATCTCCCAGGTAAGATAACATTAAAACTTCTGGAGACATCATTTTTCATCAAAGCCAATTGATAGTGGAATGTGAACAAGTAAAATGAACACAATAAATAAGAATAAAAAGGTAATATGGTATAAACATACAAAAAGTCCAGGTGCAAACTATGTCAACAATAATAACTTCAAACTGCATCTTATAACATTAACATGATTAACACTCAAAACCCTGAAGACAACAATACGGAATTGGTGACAACAGTCAGCGCAATAAATGCAACACAAGCCCTTTCTATTATAAACCAATCAAGAAACAGTTTTCTATTAGTGGGCGTGGCCTAATTGTTTTTCGGTTTATGGTAAAGATGTACAGTGTAAAAAAAAGTGCTTGGTTAGCCAATCAAATGCCACAGAATCTTTTGCAATTTATTTATACAGACTTGAACAATGTTTGAAATTAAAAATTATTTCTTGCTGCTATTAACATGATTAAGGTATTATCATGTTTATTATGTTTCACTATTTTCAGGTAGGGGACAGATAAGAGGTCCCTATCCCTTAACTCTGTCCTTTGAAAACCACCTTGTATGTCTTAACCCTCAATGCCCCGAAGAACAGCTGTGGTGCCTATTAATTTTGAATACCAATCTCATTAAAATCAAATCTTTTACTCCAATGTAATGCCTCTCATATTTTAAGTTCTTGGGATACCTCAATAGACGGTTGTGTCAGGTGAGCCATGAGCTACCTTTGACCTCCCAATCTTTGTTTTTTTTGTTCTTTAATGCCACACTCAGCAATATTCCAGCCATATGATGACGGTCTGTAAATAATCGAGTTTGGACAAGACAATCCAGCATTTGGCATCATGAACATCGATCCACGCAACTGGGATACGATTACATGCACCAAGTTGGCAACCAAGTCACCGAGCCTGACTACCCGATCCCTTTAGTCGCCTCTTACGATAAGCGTTGTTTACTTTTACGGCAAGCATGGGACCTCCCAATCTAAATAAAGGATGAGTGGGTTCTTGAGCCAGTCAGATACCTGATTTCTAAAATGATCTTGTTTTAATTTATGTACCAACTTGTTTTGGAAAATTTAATTTTAACCAAAATAGAACACAAATCTGCCTTTGATAGTACTTCCATTTGGCTATAAATGTCACAGAGCTCAGAAATGACAGGGTGTATCAAATATTCATAGCAGTATACATACATGGTCATTTGTGAATGGTTGTTTAAGCTCATTTTCAAAATACAGAAATCAGATTCATGCAGGCTGGATACATGTGTGCTGGTTTGTGTGTTTTGCTCTCTTGTACTAAGAGTTTAGATTGACTGATCAGAAAGTTTCCCTGATGCAACCTCTGGAAGTGTCCTCCGATCTTCATGCAGAGAGGTATCAGAGAGATTGTTTGCACACTGGATGTTATTCAGCTTATTCACCTCTAACATATTTTGAGGGGCGGTTGGGTAGCCTAGTGGTTAAAGCGTTCGCTCGTCACGCCGAAGACCCTGGTTCGATTCCTGACATGGGTACAAAGTGTGAAGCCCATTTCTGGTGTCCCCTGCCGTGATATTGCTGGAATATTGCTAAAAGTGGTGTAAAACCATACTCACTCACTCTAACATATTTTGAACTAAAGGGCACAAGCGTGGCCATGTTATCTCAGGCACTGCAGTTCACTGTGCTGAGATGCATCCCTAAGACATGCTAGAAATCATATCAGGTTTAAATCCCGGGTTGCCCTGATTATGTTTCTTGGTTTGTCAGCACTCTACCCATGCTCATGTGTTTCACATGGAGTTAAACATCTAAGACCAAGTGATCAAGCGAGAAACATGACAATGGGACATTTTCATGTTTGATCCAGTTTTGACAGGACATTCTTCTATATCATGAACATGATGAACAAACTGAAAAAAAACACTCAGGACATTTTTCATGATGATAAGCCCATGTCCTAAAATATGACCCCAGATGAAGCCTTGAGACCTGTATCAGTTTGGCCTTTCCTTCCATATGAAACCTTGAGACCTGTATCAGTTTGGCCTTTCCTTCCATATGAAACCTTGAGACCTGTATCAGTTTGGCCTTTCCTTCCATATGAAACCTTGAGACCTGTATCAGTTTGGCCTTTCCTTCCACATGAAACCTTGAGACCTGTAACAGTTTGACCTTTCCTTCCATATGAAACCTTGAGACCTGTATCAGTTTGGCCTTTCCTTCCACATGAAACCTTGAGACCTGTATCAGTTTGACCTTTCCTTCTATATGAAACCTTGAGACCTGTATCAGTTTGGCCTTTCCTTCCACATGAAACCTTGAGACCTGTATCAGTTTGGCCTTTCCTTCCACATGAAACCTTGAGACCTGTATCAGTTTGGCCTTTCCTTCAATATGAAGCTGACAATCTTTGGTATAAGTGAGATACTGTTCAAAGCAGTATGGTTGCCTTGGAATAAGCACAAGTATATGAAGTGAGTGAGTGAGTTTGGTTTTATGCCGCGTTTAGCAATATTCCAGCAATATCATGGCGGGGGACACCAGAAATAGGCTTCACACATTGTACCCATGTCAGGAATCGAACCCCGGTGTTCGGCGTGACGAGCAAACGCTTTAACCACTAGGCTACCCGACCGCCCCCCAAGTATATAAAGCCAGAGTTTAGCTGATGATATTAAATTTACTATATCATGTATCTGGTCACAGGTGTTGCAGGAGTTTATTGGTTTAAGCCTAATGTGTTGATGCTGTCTGTTATACTGAAATTATAGTGGAACCAGATGATATAAGCTGGATGATATTGTCAGCTCAACTTGTATACCAGTAATTTTGAAGGCCGTGCATCAGTTTGTTTGTCTGTGTATGGATCCTTCTTTCACTTTCTTTGACCTTGTTTTGACCTTTGAACTTGGCTGCACCGCTTAGAACTGGCTTTAGATAAAAACTGTCTCAAGATTTATATGAGTGTCGACCTCTAGACCAAAATGTGTCGTGAAATCGTGAGTATCCCTACCTTTGACCTTTAAAAACTAATCAGCAAATGATAACACTCAGCTGTAGTCTTAGATTGAAGTCCATGATACAGCATTGATACAGTTCGAATAAATAATGTTATTTGATTTCTTCACAAACTGAACTTCTGCTTGTCTGAAGAAATTGACCACACTTGGCACAGTGAGATGCTCTAAATCGAGCACTCAGTTTATACATTGATTATTGGGAGCTTTGTTATGTAAATCTTTGTTTTCAACATATGCAGTGAACCTGATTTGACAATAAACTTCAATAGTGAGAGAGTGAGTGAGTTTGGTTTTACGCCGCTTTTAGCAGTATTCCAGTAATATCATGGTGGGGGACACCAGAAATGGGCTTCACACATTGTACCCATGTCAGGATTCAAACCCGGGTCTTCGGTGTGACATGTGAATGCTTAAACCACTAGGCTACCAGACCCACCAAACTCCAATATGTCCAGATAAAATGTGTTAAGGCGAGTAAGGGACACTTGTTTTTTTTTCCTCAATAATTTCATGCTCACATTGATTTACATTGACCATTGTGACTATTAATAAACTTACCATGCTTAAACCTAGTGATTACAAGACATTTTTGCATGGATTATCTAGTCAAAGTGTTAAAGTTTGCTCACAGAATCTGATTTTTCAATATGGCTGCCATATTAATATCTGCTTTTGAACCATTACCTAGCCATATGCAACTTTGTATGTAGCATGCTTAGTGGGTCAGAAAATTGTTGTTTCTTCTTTTTTAGCTTTTGTACTTGTAAGTTGAACTTTGTGTTTCAGCATGGCCAGAAAAAAGAAAAGGCTGCAGTTGATGGCGTGTTTCTCAGGTAGATAATCCACCCCTCAACTCATATGTAGCTGATTTGCAATAAGTTTTGCAATCTGTTGAATGCATTTGGACAAGGAAATAAACAGATGGTGGTGATGTTCACTGATTGTTTATGACTGTTCTGTGCTATTGATTTATAAAAATATCATGTATGTGGTTAATATGCTGACAGTCGTTTGTTTGATTGTTGTCAGATTTTGCTGTAACCATGATCTAATGATAACATTAAACTTTTCCATTATTTTACCAGAAAATATGGAGTCCTATTCACCTACAAATTATGAATGGATGCAGAAAATTCACATTATGAGTCCGTGTTGATTTTTAGGCTTTGAATGTTTGCATCAATGATTCAATTGTAGATTGTAGACATTTCTATTATGTCTCATTCATTGACCTATTATTTAACATTAACAGGAGGATGAGGCACATTTTGAAAATTCTCATCCCGGGATGGTTCACACCAGAGGTAAGTCAGTTTTACTATAGTAACTGTCTATGTAATGTCTTTTAGAAGTTCCAGTTCACTCCCTTCTTCCCTCCATACCCTCTCCCACCATCCTCCCACCATCCACTCACCATCCACTCACCATCCTCTCACCATCCTCTTACTCCCTCCCATCCTCCCTCTCCCACCATACTTACTCCCACCATCTTCCCTCCCATCTTCTTCCACCATCCTTTCCCATCCTTTTCCACACTCTCCCAGCCTCTCCCACCATCCTCCCACCCTCTCCCACCATCCACTCACCATCCACTCACCATCCACTCACTCCCTCCCATCCTCCCTCACCCTCTCCCAGCCTCTCCCACCATCCTCCCACCATCCTCCCACCATCCACTCACTCCCTCCCATCCTCCCTCACCCTCTCCCAGCCTCTCCCACAATCCTCCCACCATCCACTCACCATCCACTCACCATCCACTCATCATCCTCCCACCATCCACTCACCATCCACTCACCATCCACTCACTCCCTCCCACCCTCCCTCACCCTCTCCCAGCCTCTCCCACCATCCTCCCACCATCCACTCACTCCCTCCCATCCTCCCTCACCCTCTCCCAGCCTCTCCCACCATCCTTCCACCATCCACTCACCATCCACTCATCATCCTCCCACCATCCACTCACCATCCACTCACCATCCACTCACTCCCTCACCCTCTCCCAGCCTCTCCCACCATCCTCCCACCATCCACTCACTCCCTCCCCTCCTCCCTCACCCTCTCCCAGCCTCTCCCACCATCCTCCCACCATCCACTCACCATCCACTCACCATCCACTCCCTCCCTCCAATCCTCCCTCACCCTCTCCCAGCCTCTCCCACCATCCTCCCACCATCCTCCCACCATCCACTCACCATCCACTCATCCTCTCCCACCATCCACTCACCATTCACTCACCATCCTCCCACCATCCACTCACCATCCACTCACTCCCTCCCATCCTCCCTCACCCTCTCCCAGCCTCTCCCACCATCCTCCCGCCATCCACTCACCATCCACTAACTCCCTCCCATCCTCCCTCACCCTCTCCCATCATACTCACTCCCACTATCCTCCCTCCAATCTTCTCTCACCATCCTCTCTCACCCTCTCCCACCATCCTTCCTCACTCCATCCCATCCTCTCTCACCTTCTTCTACCATCCTCTCACCCACTCCCACCATCCTCTCTCACCCTCTGCAACCATCCTCTCTCACCCTCTCCCACCATCCTCTCTCACCCTCACCTACATCCTCTCCCACAATCCTCTCTCACCATCCTCTCCCACCATCCTCTCTCACCCTCTCCCACCATCCTCTCCCACCATCCTCTCTCACCCTCACCTACATCCTCTCTCACCATCCTCTCTCACCCTCTCCCACCATCCTCTCCCACCATCCTCTCTCACCCTCACCTACATCCTCTCTCACCATCCTCTCTCACCCTCTCCCACCATCCTCTCTCACCCTCACCTACATCCTCTCACCCTCACCTACATCCTCTCTCACCATCCTCTCTCACCCTCTCCCACCATCCTCTCTCACCCTCACCTACATCCTCTCTCACCCTCTCCCACCACCCCCCCTCTCTCCTACATCCTCTCTCACCCTCTCCTACATCCTCTATCACCCTCTCCTACATCCTCTCTCACCCTCTCCTACATCCTCTCACCCTCTCCTACATCCTCTCTCACCCTCTCCCACCACCCCCCCCCTCTCTCCTACATCCTCTCTCACCCTCTCCTACATCCTCTATCACCCTCTCCTACATCCTCTCTCACCCTCTCCTACATCCTCTCACCCTCTCCTACATCCTCTCTCACCCTCTCCTACATCCTCTCTCACCCTCTCCTACATCCTCTCTCACCCTCTCCTACATCCTCTCTCACCCTCTCCTACATCCTCTCACCCTCTCCTACATCCTCTCTCACCCTCTCTCACCATCCTCTCTCACCCTCTCTCACCATCCTCTCTCACCCTCTCTCACCATCCTCTCTCACCCTCTCCTACATCCTCTCTCACCCTCTCCTACATCCTCTCTCACCCTCTCCCACCATCCTCTCTCACCCTCTCCTACATCCTCTCTCACCCTCTCCTACACCCTCTCTCACCCTCTCCCACCATCCTCTCTCACCCTCTCCTACATCCTCTCTCACCCTCTCCTACATCCTCTCTCACCCTCTCCTACATCCTCTCTCACCCTCTCCCACCATCCTCTCTCACCCTCTCCTACATCCTCTCTCACCCTCTCCTACATCCTCTCTCACCCTCTCCTACATCCTCTCTCACCCTCTCCCACCATCCTCTCTCACCCTCTCCTACATCCTCTCTCACCCTCTCCTACATCCTCTCTCACCCTCTCCTACATCCTCTCTCACCCTCTCCCACCATCCTCTCTCACCCTCTCCTACATCCTCTATCACCCTCTCCTACATCCTCTCTCACCCTCTCCTACATCCTCTCTCACCCTCTCCTACATCCTCTCTCACCCTCTCCTACATCCTCTCTCACCCTCTCCTACATCCTCTATCACCCTCTCCTACATCCTCTCTCACCCTCTCCTACATCCTCTCTCACCCTTTCCTACACCCTCTATCACCCTCTCCTACATCCTCTCACCCTCTCCTACATCCTCTCTCACCCTCTCTCACCATCCTCTCTCACCCTCTCTCACCATCCTCTCTCACCCTCTCTCACCATCCTCTCTCACCCTCTCCTACATCCTCTCTCACCCTCTCCTACATCCTCTCTCACCCTCTCCCACCATTCTCTCTCACCCTCTCCTACATCCTCTCTCACCCTCTCCCACCATCCTCTCTCACCCTCTCTCACCATCCTCTCTCACCCTCTCCTACATCCTCTCACCCTCTCCTACATCCTCTCTCACCCTCTCTCACCATCCTCTCTCACCCTCTCTCACCATCCTCTCTCACCCTCTCTCACCATCCTCTCTCACCCTCTCCTACATCCTCTCTCACCCTCTCCTACACCCTCTCTCACCCTCTCTCACCATCCTCTCTCACCCTCTCTCACCATCCTCTCTCACCCTCTCCTACATCCTCTCTCACCCTCTCCTACATCCTCTCTCACCCTCTCCTACATCCTCTCTCACCCTCTCCTACATCCTCTATCACCCTCTCCTACATCCTCTATCACCCTCTCCTACATCCTCTCTCACCCTCTCCTACATCCTCTCTCACCCTCTCCTACATCCTCTATCACCCTCTCCTACATCCTCTCTCACCCTCTCCTACATCCTCTATCACCCTCTCCTACATCCTCTCTCACCCTCTCCTACATCCTCTCTCACCCTCTCCTACATCCTCTATCACCCTCTCCTACATCCTCTCTCACCCTCTCCTACATCCTCTCTCACCCTCTCCTACATCCTCTCACCCTCTCCTACATCCTCTCACCCTCTCCTACATCCTCTCTCACCCTCTCCTACATCCTCTCTCACCCTTTCCTACATCCTCTCTCACCCTCTCCTACATCCTCTCACCCTCTCCTACATCCTCTATCACCCTCTCCTACATCCTCTATCACCCTCTCCTACATCCTCTATCACCCTCTCCTACATCCTCTATCACCCTCTCCTACATCCTCTATCACCCTCTCCTACATCCTCTCACCCTCTCCTACATCCTCTATCACCCTCTCCTACATCCTCTCTCACCCTCTCCTACATCCTCTATCACCCTCTCCTACATCCTCTCTCACCCTCTCCTACATCCTCTCTCACCCTCTCCTACATCCTCTCTCACCCTCTCCTACATCCTCTCACCCTCTCCTACATCCTCTCACCCTCTCCTACATCCTCTCTCACTCACACCTACCCCCTCTCTCACCCTCTCCCACCATCCTCTCTCACCCTCTCCTACATCCTCTCTCACCCTCTCCTACATCCTCTCACCCTCTCCTACATCCTCTCTCACCCTCTCCTACATCCTCTCTCACCCTCTCCTACATCCTCTCTCACCCTCTCCTACATCCTCTATCACCCTCTCCTACATCCTCTCTCACCCTCTCCTACATCCTCTATCACCCTCTCCTACATCCTCTCTCACCCTCTCCTACATCCTCTATCACCCTCTCCTACATCCTCTCTCACCCTCTCCCACCATCCTCTCTCACCCTCTCCTACATCCTCTATCACCCTCTCCTACATCCTCTCTCACCCTCTCCCACCATCCTCTCTCACCCTCTCCTACATCCTCTATCACCCTCTCCTACATCCTCTCTCACCCTCTCCCACCATCCTCTCTCACCCTCTCCTACATCCTCTCTCACCCTCTCCTACATCCTCTCACCCTCTCCTACATCCTCTCTCATCCTCTCCTACATCCTCTATCACCCTCTCCTACATCCTCTCTCACCCTCTCCTACATCCTCTCTCACCCTCTCCTACATCCTCTCTCACCCTCTCCTACATCCTCTCTCACCCTCTCCTACATCCTCTCTCACCCTCTCCTACATCCTCTCTCACCCTCTCCTACATCCTCTCACCCTCTCCTACATCCTCTCACCCTCTCCTACATCCTCTCTCACCCTCTCCTACATCCTCTCTCACCCTCTCCTACATCCTCTCACCCTCTCCTACATCCTCTCACCCTCTCCTACATCCTCTCTCACTCACACCTACCCCCTCTCTCACCCTCTCCCACCATCCTCTCTCACCCTCTCCTACATCCTCTCTCACCCTCTCCTACATCCTCTCACCCTCTCCTACATCCTCTCTCACCCTCTCCTACATCCTCTCTCACCCTCTCCTACATCCTCTCTCACCCTCTCCTACATCCTCTCTCACCCTCTCCTACATCCTCTCTCACCCTCTCCTACATCCTCTCTCACCCTCTCCTACATCCTCTATCACCCTCTCCTACATCCTCTCTCACCCTTTCCTACACCCTCTATCACCCTCTCCTACATCCTCTCACCCTCTCCTACATCCTCTCTCACCCTCTCTCACCATCCTCTCTCACCCTCTCTCACCATCCTCTCTCACCCTCTCCTACATCCTCTCTCACCCTCTCCTACATCCTCTCTCACCCTCTCCCACCATCCTCTCTCACCCTCTCCTACATCCTCTCTCACCCTCTCCTACACCCTCTCTCACCCTCTCCCACCATCCTCTCTCACCCTCTTCTACATCCTCTCTCACCCTCTCCTACATCCTCTCTCACCCTCTCCTACATCCTCTCTCACCCTCTCCCACCATCCTCTCTCACCCTCTCCCACCATCCTCTCTTACCCTCACCTACATCCTCTCTCACCCTCTCCGACCATCCTCTCTCACCCTCTCCTACATCCTCTCTCACCCTCTCCTACATCCTCTCTCACCCTCTCCCACCACCCTCTCACCCTCTCCTACATCCTCTCTCACCCTCTCCCACCACCCTCTCACCCTCTCCTACATCCTCTCTCACTCACACCTAAACCCTCTCTCACCCTCTCTCACCCTCTCTCACCCTCTCCCACCATCCTCTCTCACCCTCTCCTACATCCTCTCTCACTCACACCTACATCCTCTCACCCTCTCCTACATCCTCTCTCACCCTCTCCTACATCCTCTCTCACCCTCTCCCACCACCCTCTCACCCTCTCCTACATCCTCTCTCACTCACACCTACCCCCTCTCTCACCCTCTCTCACCCTCTCCAAACATCCTCTCTCACCCTCTCCTACATCTTCTCTCACTCACACCTACACCCTCTCTCACCATCCTCTCTCACCCTTTCCTACATCCTCTCTCACCCTCACCTACACCCTCTCTCACCCTCTCCCACCATCCTCTCTCACCCTCTCCTACATCCTCTCTCACCCTCTCCTACATCCTCTCTCACCCTCTCTCACCCTCTCCCACCATCCTCCCTCCAATCTTCTCTCACCCTCTCCCACCATCCTCCCTCCCATCTTCTCTCACCCTCTCCCACCATCCTCCCTCCCATCTTCTCTCACCCTCTCCCACCATCCTCCCTCGCATCTTCTCTCACCCTCTCCCACCATCCTCCCTCCCATCTTCTCTCACCCTCTCCCACCATCCTCCCTCCCATCTTCTCTCACCCACTCCCACCATCCTCCCTCGCATCTTCTCTCACCCTCTCTCACCATCCTCCCTCCCATCTTCTCTCACCCTCTCTCACCATCCTCCCTCCCATCTTCTCTCACCCTCTCCCTGCATCCTCCCTCGCATCTTCTCTCACCCTCTCCCACCATCCTCCCTCCCATCTTCTCTCACCCTCTCCCACCATCCTCCCTCCCATCTTCTCTCACCCACTCCCACCATCCTCCCTCCCATCTTCTCTCACCCTCTCTCACCATCCTCCCTCCCATCTTCTCTCACCCTCTCCCTGCATCCTCCCTCGCATCTTCTTTCACCCTCTCTCACCATCCTCCCTCCCATCTTCTCTCACCCTCTCTCACCATCCTCCCTCCCATCTTCTCTCACCCTCCCTCACCATCCTCCCTCCCATCTTCTCTCACCCTCTCCCACCATCCTCCCACCATCCTCCCACCATCCTCCCTCGCATCTTCTCTCACCCTCTCCCACCATCCTCCCTCGCATCTTCTCTCACCCTCTCCCACCATCCTCCCTCGCATCTTCTCTCACCCTCTCCCACCATCCTCCCTCCCATCTTCTCTCACCCTCTCCCACCATCCTCCCTCCCATCTTCTCTCACCCTCTCCCACCATCCTCCCTCGCATCTTCTCTCACCCTCTCCCACCATCCTCCCACCATCCTCCCTCGCATCTTCTCTCACCCTCTCCCACCATCCTCCCTCCCATCTTCTCTCACCCTCTCCCACCATCCTCCCTCGCATCTTCTCTCACCCTCTCCCACCATCCTCCCTCCCATCTTCTCTCACCCTCTCCCACCATCCTCCCTCCCATCTTCTCTCACCTTCTCCCACCATCATCCCACCATTTCCACCAACCCACCTACAGAAGTCTAGAATCTGGTGGGATCTAACCCCACATTATTGATAAGCATGAGGGACAGTACTATTAAGGTACATTTGCAACACAAAGGCCAGCTCACAAGTCATCCATCAGTCTCCGAGCACAGCCAAATACATGTACTAGCGTACTATGAATAGCAAATTTGTGTCTACATTGAAAAGTTACACAAATGGTGAATAAACAGACAATACAATGGATGAAATAAGTGGCAGAGCAACAAGTATCTGGCCCTCGAGTGTCCGGGATTTTGTCAATGTCTTGACACAAGCCTGTCTCTGTTCTGGAATCTGGAATAGTATTTGAAGCTGGAAGTAATTTGGTGTTTTCAGATAGGTATCCAATCTGCACTTGGCGAGTAGATATTAATTTGTCAACAACCAGGGTAGGTAACTCTGAATTCTACATACTGGCACTGACAGCACTCAACATTTTACCAGCTCTTTATTTGGCCGTTGACAATCACTAGATTGCCAAATAACACTTCAGGTATTGCATTTGGCAATTGATCATATATTGTCTGACCAATGTGTATGGGTTTTGTAAAGTTTGGAGATCAAGGAAATTCTTCTGCTGTGAAGTAATTATGATATTTTGTGATGCTACAGGCGTGGTACATGCTGTTGGTGGCCATTTCTCTGATAGCTCGGACCTATGCTGATGTGTGGATGATACAGAATGGTACAGCAATAGAAAGGTATGTCATCAGGGTTTCAAATTGGCATCAGTATCCATGGAAACCAGATATTTATAAATAATGGTTTCATAATATTGGCATACATTTAAAGAATATAATGGATTTTGGTCTTGGATCTATGTTTATTGTTGTTAAGGATTCTTTGCATTAGAGAAGAAACATCCACTTGTATTTTACATTAATTTAAAAAAGGGATAATTGTGACATCATACTTTTGCTGACAAAATGAGTATGGTTTACCTTCTGCACTAGAGGACATCGGTGGCCAGTAATCTGAGGCGCCAAATTCAGTGTGCAGAGTTGCTTTCCTCAGACATGCAATAAACCTGTGATCATCAAGGTCGAACAGGCTTGAAAAGGCCTTAAAGTTCAAGGTCCCTCTTGAAAAGCCTTGATTCTTTGTGTATTGACCTTGAAAAGCCTTGAATATCACCAAAATAGCTTGAAAAGCTTTGAATATGTACAAAATTACATAAACCTTTTTAATTAAAGTATTAAAACACACAAAAATAATAGTTATGTACCATGGATGTGTAATTTATCATGATAGATTTGCCACTTTGCCAAACACCTCAAGGAATTTGTGACTTAATTTAGTATATTTGTTGGTTGTGAAAATCAATCTTGTTTGCAAATTTGTGATGTTCATACTGCTTTTTAGGTCTTATGACTATATAGTATGCTGGATTGAAAAATATTGACATACTGAGGGTAATAACCGAACCAAGAAAGTCCTGAAAATGACAGTTGTAAGCCTTGAAAAGCCTTGAAGAAGGCCTTGAATTTTACTGTTCCATATCCTAGATTCATCCTGATTGGTTTGTAGGTTTGTGCAGAATTACGTCCCTTGGGCACAACAGCAACCCATGGTTGTGGGTTCGAGTCCTGGTTCACCCTGATTATGTTTCTTGGTTTGTCAGCACCATACCATGCTCATGGGTATGTCTAAGACCTGCATGACTTTGGCCTTTCCTCCCACATGAAGCTGACATGTTGTGTGTTATAACTGAAACACTGTTCAAAGCAGCATTAAACCAAACTCACTAACTCATCTGCACGAAAGGATGTTTTGGTCACAGACTAATAGGTAATGTTTATTTTCATGTTAAGATGACAGGAGGCCTGTATTTACTGATTACCGTATTCGACGTGATAAGCGCCCCCGGCGATATTTGCTAATATACTGGCTAGTGAACAATTCCAATTAGCACCCCTTCTGATTGATAAATGTACACAAGGCTATTTATTCGTGCATAATACGTTTGTTATATGCACCCTGGGCAATTAATTTCTGGAAAAATATATCTGTCGTTTATAAACATTCCAGCATAAACCACGAAATTTACGCTCTCTGAACTCAAAAATATATGTTTTAGTCTGTTTTCAGTCGTACAAATGGGTATCTCTCATACCCTCACGTCTAGTCGCACGTTTAAGAGGAAGCCAGAAGCTGGAATGTAAACATTAAACTTGTTTCCGTCCGGTTGCGCACGCACCTCCCTATGACATGTCACAAATCTCTCAGCGCGCCTCTGCGCTGGTCGCTCGAGAAAGTCTTTGGCGGTAGACTGCTAGTTTGTATTCTACTAGTACTTATAGCTTATCTACAGTTGTTCTAATAAAGTAATAACATGTCTTACCTGTACACTCCTGGAATGTAATCCTTGGTAATCCATTGTTTGTGTTCAACGCGTGTTTCGCTGTTTGACAGTGATTCTACATGTGGCAATATGTCGGGCATTTGTGCCTCATGTCAACGAAAACTGTCTAAAGTAGACCCTCACAAGTATTGTCCTTCCTGCATCATTAAGGACGGATTTTCAACGTGTTCGTGGAATAAACGTTGTAAAGAATGTTGTATCTTCGTGCGTTGGCGAAGCGGGCCGCTGAACAGCGCTACAAGCAGTGAAGGTCATCGGTTGGATCCTTGGACTCTGCACTCTCCGCATCAGGCCCTGGGGGTGGCGAGTCGACCACACCTCAGAAATCAGTTGATAAAGACCCGCCTCAGTCAACTTTTTCGACAAGACACGTGACCGTTCGCCTGCTGATGATACTACCCGCACGACTGATCTTCGACATTCGGTTGATCGAGAGCGTCACTCAGCCTCCCCCGTTACGACGGGACCGGGTGGTGACGAGGACCATGAGGGGACTACGGTCCCCAGTCGGTCCGTATCTCGTACTACCAACGACGATAGGGACGTCGTGCGGGACGACAGTGGCCACAGAAGTTGTTCCCGTTCAAGTCGGGACGACAGGTCGAGTGCCTCGTCGAGTGACAGTACACGACACGAGGGCGTTCATCGTCATCGTGGTCGTCGAATGTACGATTCGGACGATAACTACGATGGGGATCGTAGTACTTCTACAGTTAGAGATCGTAGCCCTCGTCCCCACGGGGACGTGCGACGTTCTCGAAGGGAGTTTCAGGGAGTTCAGCGTCGTAGTGAAGATAGTGACAGAACGACGACCTCGTCTCACTTTCATATCGACCCGGCTTTGATAGCCCAGATCACGGCGGCGGTCCTCGCCTCGACGGCGTCGACCAAGAAGGATACGACTACGTCGGGGGTCCATGGCCCGTCAACTAGTACAGCAGCTCCTTCATCTACGCCTCCACACTTGACGTCGATGATGGATTGTGACGACAGCCCTCCTAGGCCTCCCAAAGAACGATGACAACCCGACGCGTGCGGGCTTTAAGGTCGGAGATACACCGCAGTCTCTTCAGTTTTCTCCTCCCGATGTCTTCAGAGCCATGGCTCACGATATGGACCAGAACTTTGGCTCTGCTCTGCCTGGGCAGAGCTTCTGCAAGCCGCCTGGTCGATCTCGTTACCCGATCTATGGCATGCCGTTTTCGTCACCAATGACTAGGGATTTGGACTGGGGGCTACTCTTCAAGAGACCAGCGCCCTCCACATTTGGAATCCATGGACACTGCTGTTCGTCACCAGCTGCAAACGCTTGCTATGCTGTCGACAGCGATCAAGGCCCTCTCAGTGTACTTTGAGGAGAAAGAACCCCAGGACGAGGACGACAGGACGGTGCCATCGGTCCTCACCTGTATGCAACGGTGGATCTCGGACGTCCTCGCCCAGTCCCGATATGTATCTGGCCAGATTACTACGGCGCGTCGCCATGGTTACATCGACTGCACTGACCTACCTGATCGTCATGTCAGGTCACTCTTACAGGCCCCGTGGACATCGCAACAGTTGTTCGACGGTCGTACCAAGGATGTTCTGGACAAGTACTCCAGGGAAGCCGAGCGTGACATCATCATATCGGCTTCACACAACCTGTCCAGACGGCCACCGGTTTCGAATGCCCAACGACGACGTTACCGAAACGAGAATGTGCAACGGGCCTTCCGTAGGGACGTGCCTCGACAGCCGTCCCGCAAGAGAGATTCCGACAGGAAAGGTCGCCAGGTCTCCTTTTCCAAGTTTCCCAGAGGGGGACAGTGCCAGCGGGGGAGGAAGTGAGGTCCCTTCCCCCGCCGTCGCCGTGGTTGGAGTCTCCCCCGGTGACACTACCTTTAGACGAGCTACCGGTAGGGGGGCGACTTCGTCATTATGCCCACAAGTGGGTTTTCCTCAACGACCCTTACGTTCAGAACATTTTGACAACAGGCTACGCCCCACGCCTGAGATCGACGCCACCACTGACGTCATCCCCGACATTCCACATTCCACCAACGGATCGGCTGACGGAGGCCATCGATTTTTTGGTGGAAAAGGCGGCCGTACTTCGCCTTGGGACATCGGCACCATCGCCGAGGTACTACTCGCCCATCTTTCTAGTACCCAAGAAAAACTCCACAAAGATGCGGCTTATTTTCAATCTCAAAAAGTTCAACGCAACATACCTCCAACCACCCGACACATTCACCTTGATATCCCTCAGCTCTCTGCGTCGGATGATATTACCGAACGACTTCCTCGTCTTGTTAGACCTTCAGGACGCGTATCTACATGTACCAATAGCTTCCGAGTTCCAGAAGTACCTCCGATTCGAATACCAAGGTATTCATTACCAGTGGGCGGCCCTCCCGATTGGAATTTCTACGGCCCCGTGCTTTTTCACACGGATCATGAAGACGGTCGTAGAATGGCTCCATCGGCAGGCGATCAGGGTCGCCTTCTACCTAGACGACGGGCTCCAAGCTCACCAGTTTACAGAAGCCCTTCAAGGTGAGTTGGCGACCACCCTGAGTCTACTACGGTACCTCGGGTGGATCGTCAACTTTCAAAAGTCGGACTTGGTACCAACTCGGGTTCTACAGTACATTAGGATACGCTTCCAGACGGGAGTCAATCTGGTCCAGGTACCTCAAGACCGTTGGGACAAGATTGTCAGCAGCGTTCCGAGACTTCTACATGCCTCGGCGTCGGTGCACACGTGGCAGGAAGTCCTCGGTCTGTTGACATCGGCCCAAGACTTGACTTGTCGAGGTCGTCTTCAACTTCGTCCGCTGCAGAGATTGCTGTACCCCCACCTGGAGTTTCCCAATCTCCTGGTTCCACTTCCGGCGCAGCTACGTTGTCATCTGGAGTGGTGGCTCCAGCCGTCGAACGTTTGCGAAGGCGTCTTTATGAGCGAGCCTCCGTTCATACTACACCTATTCGTAGACGCGTCATTGGAAGGCTGGGGAGCGCACTTCGGGGACGACCAAGCGGCCGGGCTGTGGTCGCCAGTAGAAAAGGTCCTCCACATCAACTGCCTCGAGATGGAACAGTGATTCGGGCGGACGAGTTTTGGAAACTTCGACTCCGTCGGAAACGGCTGATGATACAGTCGGACAACTCCACAGTCGTCCACTGCGTCAACAAACAGGGAACAACTCAGTCGGCGGCCCTTCTGGACCGGACATTCAGGTTCTTCGCCCTCGTCGACGACTTGGACATGGGCGTACGCGCCCGTCACATCCCGGGGGCCAAGAATGTGATTGCCGACGCCCTGTCGAGACCATCGAGGCCGTCTCCCACGGAGTGGATGATCCATCCGACAGTCTTTCATCTGCTGACAGATCGACTCTGGTTGCCGCAAGTAGATCTCTTTGCTGCCCCGTACAACAACCGCCTCCCTCGATTCGTGTCGCCGGTTCCAGACCCACGGGCATGGGACCACGACAGCCAACCTACGCCTGCTTTTGGTCGCGCCTTATTGGCCGGCCAGATCATGGTTCCCGGAACTTCTTCAGATCATCGATCAACCACCGTTCCCGTTGCCAGATTGAGACGACCTCCTTCTTCATCCTCACACCGACAACTTGCATGCGGGGATAAAGAACTTCCAGCTTCACGCCTGGTTTTGCTTAAGACCTCGTTAATGAAGAAAGGCTATTCGGCTAAAGCGGCAGCGCTTGTCTCGTCGGCACATCGAGTTACAACTCGTAAGCTGTAAGATGACAAGTGGACCACTTTCTCAATTTTCTCATGGCTTCAACCCGGCGGTAGCGACCCCACCACAGGTGGCGGAGTTCCTAGTCTCTCTCCGGTCATCTCGGCGTCTGAAAGGGTCGACGATCTCGACATATCTGGCAGCTTTGGCTTCAGTAGTGCCGTCTCCTACGGGCGACAAGCTCACTAACGTACCGGAGTTGCAGAAGATTCTACGTGCCTTCATGGTTGAAGATCAGTCTCGTAAATTCCGACCGCCGGCCTGGGACCTCGATGTCGTTCTGCGCTACCTGTCTAGTCAGGCTTACGAGCCTCTCGATCAGGTCGCATTCGACTTATTGTCTCAGAAAACAGTTTTCCTTCTCTCGCTGGCTACGGCTGCGAGAATTACGGAAATACATGCCATTGACGTCGGTCAGATTACCTTCGATCAGCGTAACCATGGCAACATTCCTTCCTTGTCTGCCATTATGGGCCCTCATGATCACGCTGATCTCACCCTGTGCCCAGTCGTGCGCTTGTATTTACCTGCAGCGTTCTGAACAGCGACGACAACATTTTCGACGGCTGTTCATACTGCTCTCAACCAATGCAAAGAAAGAGATTACACGTAATACTCTCTCATTTTGGTTGAGAGCGGTAATTCTCAGAGCTTACGAGGCGCAAGGACTCGCACCTCCCACCTCCTCTCATCCGCACGAAGTTCGAGCCTTCGCTTCAACATTAGCACTCCACAGTAATTGTTCGCTACAAGTTATTATGGAGGGCTGCTTTTGGAGATCTACTTCAGTGTTTGCTTCGCATTATCTTAGAGATATCTTCACAGAAGATGTTGAAGGACTCAAACAGTTGGTCCACTCGTGGTGGAACAACAGATCTCTCAGAAAAGACAGTGAATTTGTGTTTTATTCACTTTGGAGTTTTTGCTCGACACTTCGTGACATACTACAGGTTACAATAAAAGCTGTTGGTGAATGTACGCATTCTTATGGTTTTTTGTTGCGTGCAGTACTTCTGCTTTTTATTATGGTTATTCGGTGTATGCATCGTCTTCCCATACATTATAGTACTGCTCGTATTTTTTAGTTACTTTGTATACTGTGAGTTGCTCTGTAACTAAATTATGCGCCGACCTCACTTCGATCCGGGTTCAACTGACGTGTGCAGTTGTACTGTCGCATCGATAATTAGTTGTGTGTCGAAGAGCATTACCCATGCTATTTTAGTTACCTTGTCTACGGCGAGTTCTGTAACTAAATTATACGCCGACCACATTTCGATCGCAATTCAACTGACGTGTGCAGTTGTCCTGTTGCTTCGATAGTTAGTTGTGAGTCGAAGAGCATTAAACATGCTGTTTTAGTTACCTTGTATACTGCGAGTTGCTCTGTAACTAAACTATTCGTCGACAACACTTCGATCGCAGTTCAACTGACTCGTGCAGTTGGCCTGTCGCATCGATAATTAGTTGTGTGTCGAAGAGCATTAACCATGCTGTGCGTTCGTGATAAACAACTTGTCTCGTCCGTGCATCTGGTCAAATGTTCTATTGTCACTACAGGGGTGAGGAACTTGGTACATTCAACGTGAAAGTGGTCACTGCCTGATTACTTTCCCGACCCTCCTTCCAGTGTTCCGTCGAATTCTACCCATTTGTACGACTGAAAACAGACTAAAACATGGGTTTTTCAGATTAAAAACGATGTTTTATTGGTCTGTTTTCAGTCGTACGTTCCCACCCAGCCATCCCCACAGGGAAGTAATCCAGTCCAGTCCTGATTGATGGCTTATTCTTCGAGATTTGTGACATGTCATAGGGAGGTGCGTGCGCAACCGGACGGAAACAAGTTTAATGTTTACATTCCAGCTTCTGGCTTCCTCTTAAACGTGCGACTAGACGTGAGGGTATGAGAGATACCCATTTGTACGACTGAAAACAGACCAATAAAACATCGTTTTTAATCTGAAAAACCCATATTCTAATAAGAGCCCCCTATTTCTAATTTTGAGAGCGCCCTGGGTGCTTATTATGTCGAATACGGTATGTGTCAATTAGGCAGTCTTGAGAAGCTTGGACTCTACTTGCTTTTTTTGTTGTTTCAGTGCAATCATTGGAAGAAATATGGAACTTTTCAAGAAGCATCTGTTACAGTTTATTTATGCTATGCCTGCTGTAAGTTAATTATGTGTGTTATTTCATAAATAACTGGTTATCTTAATCAAAGTGACACATTTATTGCAATGACATTTTGTAGACTGTTGTGATGCAACTGCAGTATTGGCGACTATTGAGTAAAAGCTTTGCTCATGACTCATTGCCAAAATCAGATAATTCTTTGAAATTCAGTGTCACAAATAGAAAGTGATAGTGAGCAGTGTCAAACGTTTTTCTCTCGATACACATGCCAATAGGAATATTAATGTCAAGTTTCATATGTGTGTCTTCATTTTGCACTGCATCTGCACCACTCATGGTAGGACCCGTGAAGATCCGGGATAGAATAGGTCTTCAGCAACCCATGCTTATCGTAAAAGGCAGCTATGCTTGTCGTAAGAGACAACTAACGGGGTCAGGTGGTCAGGCTCGCTGTCTTGGTTGATGCATGTCATCGTATCCCAATTGCATGGATTGATGCTTGTGATGTCAATCACTGGATTGTCTGGTACAGACTAGATTATTAACAGACCGCCAGCAAATAGCTGGAATATTGCTGAGTGCGGCGTTAAACAACAACAAACAAACAATGTGGGAGATCATGTTACATGGTCTAAATGGTCTAAATATACCAAATTGAGATGATTGTATACAGTCTGAGGGGGCCGATTGCTTTCCCAATCTTTCTGATCCTGCACAAGATCATGTTCCTACTCAACTGATCCCTGCTTACCCTTGATGTCTTGCTCGCACTTGAGTTTATCAGTTGTTTTACTGAAAAAACTTATCATGTTTATAATGAATTGTATCAATACTTATCATGGAAGCTTTTGATGTGTTTCAGATTTCTACTGTAAATAACTGTCTGAAGGTGGGTATCAGTATTTGTACCTTGTATTGTTTCTGTTTCATTTAATGTTTCAACCTTTCAAATATATATCAAACCTATCTACAGCATTTCATATTAAGAAATGGGTGTGTTTGCATATTCACAATCTTTGTTCCATTCATTGGTTCCCCATGGGGATTTAGGTTTAGAATCAGTCCCCAACGATCTCTTTGTGCTGTGAGAAGCGAACTTATGGATTGGATTGTCAAACCCAGTGACATGGACGCTGTGCAATAAATATATTCAGTGTCTTAACACTGGTTTATCTGACTCGATAACTTACAATTCCGCCACTATGAGTGAGTACCGTGTGAAACAACAAACAAATCTATCCATTGCGAGTTGTTAAACTGCTGGTTTGTTAGAAGCTAGGTTGTCTCCCTTATGCCTTACATGCTTGTCGTAAAAGGCGACTAACAGGATCGGGTGGTCAGACTCGCTGACTTGGTTGATGCATGTCATCGATCCCAATTGTGCGGAAAGATGCTCATGATATTAATCACTGGATTGTCTGGTCCAGACTCGATTATTTACAGACCGCCGTAATATAGCTGGAATATTGCTGAGTGCGGCGTAAAACAACATAACAACCAACCAACCAACATGGTCACTATTGCATATGAAGCGGGAGTCGTACCAATATGGAGTCAGTCCCCAATGTGTATTCCAGGCAAGCTTGGATCATCACCACTTCATGTCTGTCATTATTAAAAGGGGGATTGCGTGACAGTGCCAGGATGGATGACCACCTGGGAACAGGTCTGTCAGCTGTCACCTGGCTGTTTGTGAGTCATCGTACCCTGATGGCAGTCTGTGAGTTTAGTTTGGGCTGGTAGACTCAAAAGGTTTTCACACACACTGTGATAGGTGGGATGGTTTGTCTCATCCCAGTCTCATTAACATCAGATCTTAGTTCTCGCTATCGCTAAACAAAGATCTGAGGAAATCCCATTACGGGTCACATCAGAACCACGTTTCATCCGACGAATCAAAGCGTTGCTTACCAGATCATGAAAGTGACAGTCGGAATGTGTTTTCTAATCACGCAACCTCGCGGGGTATGCTGAACCACAGTTACGGTCCATACAACTGATTCCGTCAAAAGTATCGTCTATCTCTTGCTTCCGTGGCACTGCCATACAATCTCAACCATGTGTTAGACATTCCAGGATGTTTGTTTGTTCAGTTTTCAAACTTTTAATCGAGAACTGTGTCAACATATTTTTCAAGCTTAGTCTGAAATGGAAGTTGCCAGGTTGAAACGAGTGCCGTAAAGCTCGAGAAAGCTGCTTTCTAATTGGCTGGTGTCGACTTCTTGTTAGTCATTTCAGTAATCGGTCAAAGTTCGCAAAAGGTCGTTCTGACGTGATCTGTAATGGGATGTCCTAAGATCTTTGTTTAGCAGCAGCGAGAACTTAGATCTGATTAGTCTCATTCAGGCTTGAGTGCTCTTACATTTGACATAAAATGTTGTACACTTATTTATTAATTTACAAGATTATTTTGATGAAGAACAGGCACTGATTGAAAAAGACCTCAATCAGTCACCAATGTGTGCCTCCTGTTCTATGAATAACAAAAACTTTGCTCAAAATGCACTTGGATGTTTGCAAACCATTTTCTAAGATGACTGACGTGTCTAAATTTGATTTTTCACATAATTTTGTCACTTAAGTGAATATATTTATCAGTTCTAAATCACAATACTGCAATTTTTGTTTCTGTGTTATTACAGTACGGGCTCAATGAGCTGAAGGTTCGGTTTCGCTCCAGGTTGACACATCATCTTTATGAAAGCTACCTCAAGTGAGTTGTCACTAGGATTGACTATGGATGGCAGATTTACAGTTGCAATAGTTTTACAATACTTAAGATGTTATTTTGATCCTAATAAAAAATGACAACTATTGAAACAGAAGTGAGATGGTTTGCTAATACATGTTCTTGTATCATACTAAAATGTAGATTTCTCTGCATAGTCAACATGATGACAAAGTCTAACTCAGCACCAAGTACTAGAGTAAACCAATTGTTTGAGAAAATGTTAAGGAGTAAATGTGGGATCGTCGGAGTGCGAGAGTTTCTGGTAGGAAGTTATTAACCTTCCTGAATGGATATTTATATGTCTTTTTAAGCAAAGAATAGTTGACACTTGTGTAATTTTCAAAAAAGTATTTAGTATGATAAATCAAAGTGTTTTTCATCAACCATTTCAATAATTCCTATATTTTCAGAGGGTTCACCTTCTACAAGATGAGTAACCTTGACAACAGGATTTCCAATGCTGACCAACTGCTGACACAGGATGTAGAGAAATTCTGTGACTCAGTGGCTGAGCTGTACTCCAACCTCAGCAAGGTAGGCAATAGGGAGACTATTGGAGGCTATTTGATCATTACATTAGGCGATAGGGAGACTATTGGAGGCTATTTGATCATTACATTAGGCAATAGGGAGACTATTGGAAGCTATTTGATCATTACATTAGGCAATAGGGAGACTATGGGAGGCTATTTGATCATTACATTAGGCAATAGGGACACTATTGGAGGCTATTTGATCATTACATTAGGCAATAGGGAGACTATCAGAGGCTGTTTTACCCTTGCATGAGGCAATAGGGAGATTATCGTAGGCTGCTTATCATTGCATAAGGCAATAGGGAGATTATCGTAGGCTGATTATTGCATTAGGCAATAGGGAGATTATCGTAGGCTATGTTACCATGACAATAGGGAGACTATCAGAGGCTGTGTTACCATTGCATTAGGCAATAGGGAGATTATTGGAGGCTGCTTATTGTATTAGGCAATAGGAAAATTATCGGAGGCTGTGTTACCATGATAATAGGGAGACTATCAGAGGCTGGGTTACCATTGCATTAGGCAATAGGGAGATTATTTGAGGCTGTTTTACCATTGCATTAGGCAACAGGGAGATTATCGGAGGCTGTGTTACCATGGCAATAGGGTGACTATCAGAGGCTGTTTTACCATTGCAATGGGCAATAGACAGCTATGATCCATCAATAGTTTGATCAATTGTTCCACCCCTCATGGACTGGGGTCTTGGGCTAAGCATGACCAAAGGACTATCTCCCTTCCAATGATCGGTGGCTTACATGCATCTGTAATAATTAACTAAAGGAACAAAAGCGTACCAAGTTTACATATGCAAATTGCCCTAAGTTTAACAAAATGTTTCAGCCTTGAATTTTGCTGTTCTTAAAAAGGCCTTGAAGTTTGTGGGGGAAAAAATGTTACACAATTATTGTCTTGTCCCAGGAACTTGTGATATCATTTACAACTATTTAGAGAAACACAACTACCAGGTAGAAACTGATGGGTCCTGAAGCTGCTTCAGAGTCTGAAACCCCCAATCCACACGCTGGTTGATGTTCTTGACTTTTGCTGCAAAATGATTTGTGGATGTATACAAAGATACAATCTTATGAAGCTGGCATTAAACCATGGACAATTACTGTTTTTTCAAATATCCACAGTCCGGTAATTTGGAAGCTGAAATTTGTATTTTCTCTCAATTTTGAATTTCAGGCTAAATACATTGTCAACCAACTAATAAAATATAAAAGGAGTTTGCTATGTCTCTACTGAATTGTACGTCCATGTATGTCTTTCCATGCAGCCTGTCCTCGACGTGGTTCTGTACACCTTCAAGCTGACTGGCGCCATTGGACCACAGGCAAGTGACAGCTTCATCTCTCTGTACATGCGTTGTGGTATTGCTGATTGGATCAGACTTCTTTCAATCTAAATAACCTCAAATTATGTCGCTCCCTGTTTAATTAAATTGTGAAGATGATTAGTTTCAATAATGTAATCATACAAATTTAAGACAATTATCATGGTATTAAGATGGAAAGATATTCAGTGTAAATTGCAGTCACATCTCTTGCAAGAATGCATTTAAAAAACAAATAGGGCAATATTGATAATAAGAGTCTCTGCCAAAAATGTTGGAGTCTATGAGACTGAACTTGGCTCTTAGCATCCTTTTGAGTAGATTTTCAAGTTGTTATGTGACTAATTATTAGCTGAACTTATTAGACCAAACAAAATGTTACTAGACTCTGGCTTTGAACTAGTGTCTAAAGTTGCAGACAGTAATAATGACATGAAATCAGCCTCATCATTTCAGACCCCCAATTTCTTTTTGAATAATGGTTGAATTCAGTATTTGTTTGATGTATTGAATGTGTTTCAGGGTCCAGCATACATGTTAGGCTATCTGGCAGTGTCTGGCTTGATTCTTACAAGGTAAGGGCGAATGAAAGAAGACAACCAGAGACACTAAAATAGATAGTATTTAATTCCATGTACATTGCATGAAACCTGACCAAAACAAACCATGGCGCAATCAACAATAAAGGAAAGATAACTCTGATTGATCTAAAATGCAGAAAATTAGGAATGGCTGAATTCAGAACTGGGAGAAAAATGCATTGACCCCTGAGGTTTCAGATGACCTGCACGATGAAGATAAACATTTGTTTTTCTTGTCTGGGCCTAAGAGTCCAGGGGACTCTCAGTAATATTTTGGGGGCTCCAGGGCAGTAACATCAGGTTTCCTGGCTGGATATTGCTGAATAATTGCTAAATGCTGCTAGAATATCACGGATGATTTAAGTGGAAAAAATATGCATTTAAGAAATACTTTTCTTATGCTGTATCTGCATGAAGATTATGTTATGTTTCCTAAATATGTATATATTGTACAATATCCTTTTGAATTACATCACTGGTATTAAATGTTGAAATGAAGTATTAGGATGATATGTTTCATTTTCCAGGTTGCGGAGGCCTATTGGCCGCCTCACAGTCCAAGAACAAAAGTTGGAAGGGGAATATAGATATGTCAATTCAAGGCTCATCACGAACAGGTGAAAATGTTAACACAACTCTGAAACAACATGGAAAACACCATCCTTTGTTATCGCTGTTCTCTTATGATCAATACCATGGACCCAATCGCCACCTTTTGGACGTGAGGACACCAGCTCCTTCTCCCTTATCACTGACTTAGCAGTTAGCAGCCCCATCCAAGCAGGCTCTTGATGTATTCAAACAAATAACAAGACAGTTGTAAATGATTTTTTAAACTGGTATATGTTCCTGCGTACTAATACAGGGGAGTGAAGTTCTTCACTACGAAACATTCTGGTTGTATTTGCGATGACACGCAAAAGTTGAGATAAGTACTGGTGATATCACTGCTTCTTTTGATCCAATCTCATTAAAATCAGATCTTAGTTCTTGCTATCGCTAAACCAAGATCAGAGGACATTTCATTACGGGTCACGTCAGAACGACCTTTCATCTGACCAATCAAAGCGTCGCTTACCAGATCATGAAAGTGACAGTTGGAATGTGTTTTCTAATCATGCAACCTCGAAAACATTAACACGGGGTATTCCAAACAACAGTTAAGGACAGTTACTGTCTGTCTCTTGCTTCCATGGGATAAACATTTGAATGGAGGAGGCGTTGCAAAGTATGTGGGAAGCACTGCTATACAATCTCAACCATATATTAGACATTCCGGAATGTTCCTTTGTTCAGTTTTCAAAATTTTAATCGAGAACTATGTAAACATATTTTTCAAGCATAATCTGAAATTGAAGTCGCCAGGTTGAAACAAGTGCTGTAAAGCTCGAGAAAGCTGCTTTCTAGTTGGCTGATGTTGACTTCTTGTTAGTCATTTCAGTAATCGGCCAAAGTTTGGGAAAGGTTGTTCTGACATGACCCGTAATGGGATGTCCTTAGATCTGGTTTTAATGAGATTGAGTTTGATCGTGACAATACAATAATTCCAAGATCTATATTAAATGGAGATGTGAAGAGTAGGGATGTGGAGTTGCTTCCCCTGTGTTTTATGTCCATTTACAGGGATTTGCATAAGAGGTGAAGAGGCGTTCGTCATGTTTTTAAACTTTTGCGTTTATTTTTTTTCCAGTGAAGAAATAGCATTCTATCAAGGAAACCAAAGAGAAAGGTTCATCATTCTTGCAACGTTCCAGAAATTGGTATGTAGATTTGATGAACTTGATCTGGGATGTTACCTTGGTGATCGAATTGTTGACTGAGATCCTTTGATTTTTACTCTTTAAGAATACACAAAACGCGTAATGGTGCTGGCACAACATATATCATAAGCAGGGTGGCTAAGTCACATTATACATGTTTTATTTTCTTATTATGTGTGGGGCGGTCGGGTAGCCTAGTGGTTAAAGTGTTCATTCGTCACACCAAAGACCTGGGTTCGATTTCCGACATGGGTACAATGTGTGATGCCCATTTCTGGTGTCCCCCGCCGTGATATTGCTGGAATATTGCTAAAAGCGGCATAAAACCATACTCACTCACTCACTTACTCACTCTCATTACGTGTGATACAGTGTTCTTTAGATAAGCAGGGCAGTCGGGGTAGCCTAGTGGTTAAAGTGTTTGCTCATCACGCTGAAGACCCGGGTTTGATTCCAAACATGGGTACAATGTGTGAGGCCCATTTCTGGTTTCCCCTGCCGTGACATTGCTGGAATATTGCTAAAAGTGGCATAGAACCATACTCACTCACTCACTATAGATAAGCATCATGTTCTTGTACCATAATTACTTCAAATAAATTTTCATTGGTGAATGTTAATTCAATATCACATTATCAGCCTTTTGCCATTCTTGCGTCATCTCATCGAATTCAGTGAGGAGTCTGGTTTCATGGGAAGTTCTATTGTAATTCCATTTTTTTGTCATTTCAGATATCACATCTGCGCTACTTCATTTTCTTCAGACTGCAGATGGGTTTTGTTGACAGTGTAGTTGCAAAATGTAAGTTTGTGTCATGTTTAGGCTCCTTAAAATTATCATTTTTATTTTGAATATGAGAAATTTAGTCAGTTTTGTGAAGTGCTAAAATGCCTGATATTGTATAAATATTGTTTTCGGAACTGCCTCAGTTCTCTTTAAGAACCTAGGACTTTTGCCTAGCCTGATAGTTGACATTGTGTCATGGCTCCTTCAATTTCCAGTATGTCTACAACATATGGAGCTCATTTTTAGGTTCACTTTTCAGTAGATTCTACTTTGAGATAGGCTTTCAAAGCTTAACTTACAATGCTTACAAGGCCAAAAGAAATGTTTCTTTAAACTGTTAGGTGACATTTTTTTATTTCTTGGTTTACGGATGCGCCGCTCTTTCAAAGTCCAAATGTTAAAAATAAAATAAAATGAAAATTACCCTTTTTTTATATTACCGCCGATCTTTTCGACAAAAAGTTCAAACAAAAAACGATTTCATTTCCTCGTCGAGCGTAAAGCAAAGGGAAGTCACTCTGATATTTCTTGCTGGGATCCTTCTCTAATACCACCAAAGCTTGTCAACGCAAAGCGCAGTGGTGACCAGTTTAACTATTTCAACACTGTTGGCCGTTCAAAGCCACAAGTCACACTGCACAGTAGACCGTCCAAACCATGTCAAAATAGTTTATAATTATATTAACCTACTTGTCATATCATTCATTTATTAAATCTATCACATTTCACAATGTCTGAAATACGTATTCCATTTGATTTTATCATTTTTTTATCTATAGATTAAAAATGTATTCACTAGACACTATTTCCCGCAATGTTATTGAGAATAAAATTCTCGGACACACTTCGACAACGGGTCCTCATCGAACATGTCAAACAGCAAAATAAAGACGTTTCACGCGCTTAAACGTCTTTATTTACAAAGAAATAAAATCATCAAAAAAATATCTATAAAAGTTGCCAAACTGACATCTTAGTTATTATTTCCAACTTTTCTTGCGATCGCATATCGTAAGTCAAATGACATCTCGGCTTTCGTCGCCTCGATTTCTCGGCTCGGACACGATGTCTTAATGCCAAAATATATGCATAAGAAATCTTTGTCACAGCTCGTAACCTAGCTCTATGCATCCATAATGTTCCATATTTTTAATATAGATCGCGATTTCATGCTAAAACGTTGAGAATAACATGATTTAACCCAAACCTTTCGCCAAAGTCTGAAAATTACTGTTGCTGTAATTTGATTGGCTGCCTTAGGTCACATGCTTAAATTTTACCAATCACGAACCTTGTAGCAGATTCTGTCGGTGAAACAATATAAGTTTTTTTAATGTATACTGACATGGCAGGACGTATGTGTTATTCATAAGAAGCTTTGAAAACGGAGGTATTTCCTCATGTTATATTTGCCAAAAAAATAATTAAATTTGCCCTTCACTGGTCTTTAATCTGGACGTTATGAATGTTTTAGCTTACGTTATTGTCCCCTGCCGCGCGAATGCGCGAAGCGGGGGACATTGTTTTCACGACCGTCCGTCCGTCCGTCCGTACGTCCCACCTGTTTGTTGCCGCGTTATCTCAAGAACTAAACACTGGATTGTCTTCATATTTGGAACTATGGTGTATATACAGACTCTGCAGACACACCAGTCAGTTTTGGTGACCTTGACCCCATTTTCAAGGTCACAGCAGGCAAAATCTGCTTTTGGAGTTGGAAAACGGTGTTGCCGCGATATCTCAAGAACTAATTGCTTGATTGTCTTCATATTTGGTACTATGGTGTATATACAGGCGGGGGACATTTCGTCACTTTGTGACAAATACTTGTTTTTTATTTAAAACAAACTTTATTTAGTTGTTAATGAATTATTTAAATAATGTAATACACATAACTTTCATATTTATAAACAATAGGATTAATTAGACCTTTCAAATAGTGTATGGCAAAACATGTAGTAGCAAAGATGTTAATTTCAGCAGATAATTCCTTGATAAATGTTGGTTTCATCTATCACGCAAGAGTCTTTGGGAACTTGGTGTCACAGCAGTAATCTTCTGGTTGGCTGGTGTTGAAAGAGTTAAACGTTGCCCATGCCGCCAAAATAGCAGCATCTTTCATGCATTTCCACCCATGACACGAATATTGTTATGTTGCCATCTGTGCACAAGCTAAGTGCCAGGGATATAATAAAATGTTCTTGAAAAATTGAGTTATTTTACTTTTATTACGCCAGGATATTTTTTTTCATACCTACCTAACTTTTTAGGACAAAATTCAGGTAAAAAAAATGTAAGAGGCTTTTCTTTTCTTTTTTAAATTGGCCTGCCTGACTTTTGAAATGAGTCTGAAATCCGTAAACCAAGAAATAAAAAAAGTGTCGCCTTAGGCTTCATACGTTTTTACATTTTTACCTAAACTGAGTGTCTTTTAACCCAACTATAATTGTAGAGGACTGGAAATGTTTACAGTGAACATGGTCATGGGACATGAAGTGGAACCAACAGTTTAATAATAATGCTAGTTATTGTTCATGAATTTTGGTTATGAGAGATTTATGTTGATGGTCCTGTGGACTTTGTCCTGTCTGGAGTTGACTAAATGTCTGACATGTTGATCTGTGTTGTCAGACATAGCCACAGTGGTGGGGTACTGGGTTGTCAGTCGACCCTTCTTGAATCTGGCACATAAACGCCATCTCACAAGCACCCACAGTGAGAGATTGGAGGTAAGATTTGTCGTCAATTTGCTTAAGAAATTGATTGGTCTAACAGTAAAACAATTTAAGCCAGTAACATTGATGATGACAAGCTAGTAACAATGATACAATGATGACAAGCTAGTAACAATTACACAATGATGACAAGCTAGTAACTGATACAATGGTGATGACAAGCCAGTAACAATGACACAATGATGATGATAAGCCAGTAACAATGACACAATGATGACAAGCCAGTAACAACACAATGATGACAAGCCAGTAACAATGATACAATGATGATGACAAGCCAGTAACAATGACACAATGATGATGATAAGCCAGTAACAATGACACAATGATGACAAGCCAGTAACAACACAATGATGACAAGCCAGTAACAATGACACAATGATGATGACAAGCCAGTAACTATGACACAATGATGACAAGCCAGTAACAATGACACAATGATGATGACAAGCCAGTAACAATGACACAATACTGATAAGCCAATAACACTGACACAATGATGATTACATGCCAGAAAAAAAGACACAATGATGATGACAAGCCAGTAACTGACACAATGATGATGACAGGTAGTAACAACACAATGATGATGACAAGCCAGTAACTGACACAATGATGATGACAAGCCAGTAACTGACACAATGATGATGACAAGCCAGTAACTGACACAATCATGATGACAGGTAGTAACAACACAATGATGATGACAAGCCAGTAACAATGACACAATGAATGCTGAATATGGATGGTACTTCAGGCATTTGAGGAGGTGTCCATGTATGTTGTCACTAGTTAGTGAGCATGTATTGAAGCCTGTAGCATGTAGCCTGATGTTTGTTGCAGGACTACTACAAGAGCGGACGTATGTTGGTGAAGATGGCGGAGGCCATTGGGAGAATCGTGCTGGCCGGGCGAGAGATGACCAGACTAGCAGGGTCAGTACAACTCTTAAGAGGGCACCTGGGGGGGATTCCAAGTTGAAATTAGTCCCCAGCAAACCGTGCTAATCGATTGGGTGGTCGTACACTTTAACTTTTTGACACAGTGTCATCTTCCTTGATTTATTTCGATGCATTACTAAAAATTGCAATCACTAATGTGTCTGGTCCAGACTGGATTATTTCGAGGCTGAGGCCAAATAGCTGGAATATTGCTGAGTCAGCATTAACAACGAACAAACTAAAGTAGGCCCTGTTCATTTGGGAGACCTAGCAAGTTTGGATCATGTAATTGAAAGCCCATGTTGAATGTCTTTTTGCTCTAATGTTGTGGGGGGCACGGGTGGACCAGTCATCTAAGGCACCGCGATTCGCTGTGCAGAGTTGCGTCCCTTGGGCACGTCGGAAACCTATGATTGTGGGTTCGAATCCCTGTTTGCCCGGATTGGGTTTCGAAGTTTGTCAGCACCATACCTGTGATCATGGGTTTCACTGAAGTGGTAAACGTCTGAGACTTGCATCACTTCGGGCTTTCCTCCCACATTAAGCTGACACGCTGTGATACTGTTAAAAGCAGTGTAAAACCCAACTCACTCACACTCTAATGTTGTGATGCCTATCAATCTCTCATCAAGACTCTGAAAATGAACACCAGTTTGTGGAGCATAGCGTTCTTTGATGCTAACAGCAGCTGGTGCTTCCTAGATAAGGCCTTATTTGAATTTCAGAAATCTGAAATCTTGAATTTGAAAGAAACATATTAGACATTGTTACCTGTTATTAAAACCTATTGTGAATGATTTACAGTTTCACAGCCAGAGTCACACAACTGATAAAAGTGTTGGACGATCTCAACCGAGGCCACTATGAGAGAACAATGGTGACAACGGAACAAACACAAGGTACGCCAACCAGGATTACCTGTCAGAATCAGCCATGTTAGGATCGGTCGGGAGATACAGACTTACAGATGTGTACTTGCTCTTCCACCTGGCACACGCCGTGATATTGCTGGAATATTGCTTAAAGCGGCGTAAAACCAAACTCACTCACTCCACCTGGCACAGTTTTGTACAATGAAGTATTACATTTCTATCTCAGGGGATTATCTCCCTTTACTCTTTTCATAGCAAGTCTGCTCTTTCTGGTTTTTTTTGGTTGTGTCAAATATTTGCCATCTTCTGACAGTTATTGGTGTAAATCCAAAATGACAGTGTCATCCTTGGGTTATATGCACCATACCCATGATAGTTTGTTTGGCCAAAGTCATAAGATCTATGACCTGAGCGGTATTCCCACATTAAATTGACGACTATGGTATGAATGAAATACTGTTCCGATACAAACTTTCACACCTGCTTTAGTCAGATGTATTAATAGAGAAATAAGAAAGATTTCAAAACTATATCTCAAAATTGTGGGTTTTTTCAGCTCTGGAGAATAACAAAGCATTGAAACCTGGTAGCGGAAAGATCAATATTCAAGATCATATTATCAAGTAAGTTATGAGTTAAAAGTGACTCTTTGTTATAAAAAGTATTTTTCCACCTTTGAACAGCATAATAGTTCTGCGGTAAGAGATGTGTTTCTTAGCAAGTTGATGGCCTCAGCTCCTTTAATGGAGTAGAGAGGGTCATCATTGTATGGTTGTGCTGTTGGTCATCATGACTGCTGTGTATGGTAGCACATAGTACTTGAATGGCACAACTGGTCCCGACATCAAGGTGCCCCGAACTGTTGTCCCAGGATCAATTGTTGGTTTGAATCCCAGATATGTCCTGATTATGATCCTTGGGTCTCAGCACCATAGACGTCAGCATCCTTCACCACTTTGGGCTTTCCTCCCACATCAAGTTGATGTAACTGAAATGCTGTTCAGGGCCACTTGCACACAGTGACCTTAGCACTACACTAACTTCCATACTTAACATTGACTTACGATAGTCATAGTGCTAAGATCGCTTTGTCCAAGTAGCCTCAGTGGGGGGCGGTCGGGTAGCCAAGTGGTTAAAGCTTTCGCTCGTCACGCCGAAGACCCGGGTTCGATTCCCGACATGGGTACAATGTGTGAAGGCCATTTCAGGTGTCCCCTACTATGATATTGATGGAATATTACTAAAAGGGTCTTAAAACCTTAATCACTCACTCACTGGCTTCAGTGGTGTAAAACTCACCCACTTACTATGCCACTGTGACTATGATAGGTGTGACAGATATTTACATGTTTGCATTGCTGGTCAAGGTGCTCAGTTGAGGGGTGGTATAGGGACTTCCTGCACTCCTTCATCTCTGTGTGATTTGTGCCTGGTGAGCGTCTCAGACACCTGTTGAACATATTTGGTCTGTTTCAGATTTGAGAAAGTCCCCCTTGTCACCCCGAATGGAGATGTGTTGGTGAAGGAGCTGTCCTTTGAGGTAGGCCATGTACTGTTGGTGGTGTTTGATATCTCCTGGTAAACAGAGCAAAGACATCTTCCCAAGGGAGTTAACTGTCTATAAAAGTCCAGTTTCCACCCTTTTCAAAAAAGGCTAGAATTTCATGGATTGGTCGTAGCGCCACCAGTGGCTATTTCGAGTTATGTCCCTTCTATATCCCTTCTTTTGACCAATAAGATTCCACCTCTCATAACACTTGCATTTGCTTCAAACAAAATGATGGTGAGGTCAAGACAATCTGTTCCATAATCAAGATCTTTATTGTAATATAGGGGCCGCTGGTAGCCTAGTGGGTAAAGCATTTGCGCGTCACACCGAAGACCTGGGTTTGATTCCCGACATGGGTACAATGTGTGAAGCACATTTCTGGTGTTCCCAGCCATGATATTGCTGGAATATTGCTAAAAGCTGTGTAAAACCATACTCACTCACTATTGTATTATACCTCATGATGTGCATCAAGTCACTTGAGCATCTTGATTAAAAACAGGAAAAATTGGGAAGAAGCCAGTTGACGCCCATTTGACGGCACACATGCTCTGCATATCCTGCAATTAACCGAAATCTGACCAGCAGTTTCCATATTGTTTATGAACGGGATGTAGAATTTGTTAGTCCAGCTAAAGTATAAAGTTCTCCATAATTCCAGCCTAGTTTGGAAAGGGTGGAAAGTGGACTTTTGTAGTCCGGTAACTCCCATGCTTTGGGAAGAAGCAGAGAAAGAGCTCGACCTCGCTGTTGGTCCTGCTGAACATGCATGGGTTATAATGTTCCGGGGTGAAGGGAGTACTACATGGCGTAGATGAGCATATAACATCATGCTTGTTTTAGTGCACCGCCTCTGTGGTGTAGTGGTTAGAGCGTCATACCAAAAAAGATGGTACTTGCTGTTTCCCTGCCTGCCTCTCTGGCCGGGATTCAAACATGAGGAAAACCCATGGGTTCCAAAAGGTTCTCTGATTGCCTACTACTGTCCTGACAAGATATTACTTGCCTGTGACAGACAGGACTGTAAGGTCAAAGGTGAAGACATTTACTTCAAAGCACATCGTCTCCATCCCTCTGAGAGAATTAAGTGGCCCCAAAGTGTGCCATGCTGTCATCACAGATTGAGGTTAGTGTATGGGGGTCTGTTTCAGTCCCAGCTAATGCGAGAATGTAATGTAAACCAGGAATGCAATTGCGATACTCCCTTCCATCCATAGACATATTGCTATGGAAACTCACCGCCCTCTGGCTATCTGCCTGACAGGGAGGGAAAGCAAAATTTGGATTACAAATCATTTTCTTAATGCAGACCTATTCAACTCTCTGTACCATTGTTTGCACACCATGTATTCTTTCATTCTTGTGCCTCAACAGATAATTATTATCATGAAATACAAGATAGTTTTCGAGATATTTCACAGATTGTCTTTTAATGTTGGGTTTCACCAAAGTGGTAGACGTCTGAGACCTGCATCACTTCGGGCTTTCCTCCCATATTAAGCCAACATGCCTTGATATAACTGGAATACTGTTCAAAGCAACGTTAAGCCCACTCACTCACTCACACTCATTCCAGGACAGGGCCTACTTGCACAAAGCGATCTTAGCGCTACAACTATCTTAAGTTTGTTAGAGTATGGGAGTAGTGCTAAGATCGCTTTGTGCAAGGGGGCCCAGATCAGGTTCTCACAACCCCCTGCTTGTTGTAACAGCTGTCTAATGAAGACTGGGTAGTCATAATGTGTGACCTGGCTGATTGTGTGTCATTATCATGCGTGTTATACCTCCATTGACTGTTAGTAATGCAGAAGGTGTCGCCCCGTGCTCTAACATGCTGTGAATTACTGTGCAGAGTCACAGCCCTTAACCATGATCTGCTGATCCCACATTGACATAGTTTGAATCCCCAGTCTGTCACCACCACACCGTTTCACTACAGTGGTTAACATCTGCAAACTGACATTTGGGCTTTCTTCATCCATTAGGCTGATACATTGTGAGGGATATTAACTAAGATTTTAGTCCACTTGTCCTTCAACAAAAGGTTAAATTCAACTCACTCACTGTGATGGTAATGAGGGAAGTCAGCATGGTTGGAAGAAATCATTTTAAAGCACTATTCACTCACTTACTCAACTTACTAGACCAGGGACCTTGGATTGTATGGGAGGCAAGGGTGGCCAAGTCGTCTAAGGGTCCGCGATTCACTGTGCAGAGTTGCGTCCCTTGGGCACGCCAGGAACCTATGATTGTGGGTTCGAATCCCGGTTTGCCCCAATTATGTTTCTAGGTTTGTCAGCACCATCCACGTGCTCATGGGTTTAACCGAAATGTGGTAAACGTCTTAGACCTGCATCACTTCGGGCTTTCCTCCCACATTAAGCTGACATGCAACGATATAACTGGAGTACTGTTAAAAGCAGCGTTAAACCCAACTCACTCACTGAATTGTATTGTACGTTTCCAGTATAGTTGGTACAAGCCCTAGCTGCTCTGACAGATATACCTCTACAGACATGGCACTTAATACATCCGAGCACATCAAATGTCATCCTCTGTTTCTTCAGGCCTCGCATTTTGGTAAACCTGCACCAACCCCTGGATCCATTCTCGTGGTTCTCTTGATCTCAAATTACCTGTCATTGATTTTCATTAACATTTTACCGAGCAATAAAATGTTGAGATATGAAAAAAACCTGGGTAAGGGTGGTAACCTGTATTGCTAAGAAACCAAAGCCATGGCAGGTTTAATGGACATGAAGACATCCTTTCCATCCAGAACATTTTCTTTTTCTTGTCAGTCAGCTTTTCAATGTTTAATTTCTCTGAAACTATCATTGTTTGTTTGTTGTCCCCCGCCGCGCGAAAGCGCGGAGCGGGGATAATATAGTATTCACGACCATCCGTACGTCCGTACGTACGTCCGTACGTACGTCCCACCTGTTTGTTACCGCGATATCTCAAGAACTAAACACTGGATTGTCTTCATATTTGGAAATATGGTGTATATACAGACTCCGCAGACACCAGTTGGTTTTGGTGACCTTGACCCCATTTTCAAGGTCGCAGCAGGCAAATCTTCTTTTGGAGTTGGAAAACGGTGTTGCCGCGATATCTCAAGAACTAATCGCTGGATTGTCTTCATATTTGGTACTATGGTGTATATACAGGCGGGGGACATTTCGTCACTTTGTGACAAATACTTGTTTTGTTTGTTTGTTGTTTAACGCCACACTCAGCAATATTCCAGCTATAATATGACGGTGGTCTGTAAATAATCGAGTCTGGACCAGACAATCCAGTAATTGATATCATGAGCATCGATCCACGCAATTGGGATCGATGACATGCATCAACCAAGTCAGCGAGCTTGACCACCTGATCCCGTTAGTCGCCTCCTACGTAAAGCCTGTTACAGAAAGCAGGCGACTATGCTAGTCGTAGGAGGCTATCAATGGGACTGGCTGACATGCTGTTGACATCAACAACCCAACTTTGAGGCTAGTTTGTTACTCGCATTCTGATTGGTCTGATAGACTGAGTAGCGTAGCAAATCAAACTAGCAAATGAAAATCAAGGGGAGGTAATTTGAAATAGCAAGAATCGCAGGAATGGCTCCAGGGGTTGGTGTTGGTTTATCATAATGCGAGCCCTGGAGATACAGAGGATGAGGAAATATTGATAACATGCCTTTCAAAGGTCAAGAACATCACTGGGGTTATCATGAAACATGGTTTTATCATTCATTGCCAGTTATTGTTGCACTTTTGCTTGTTCAATCATGAGACTTGATAATGTAAGAAGTTGTCTTGATTAAAGTCAAGGTCTGGAATTAGAGTGTTTGGATTGGAGGTTCATAGGGGTACTTGAAGGCTTTAGAAGCTTTCAGGAAATTGTATCGATGGAGTTGCTTCTGCTTTTGCAAGTACATGCAAATACCTCTAGTTAAGTTAGAATTGATATTCATAAATTTGTATCACACTCACCCAGTGGAGATTCTAGATTAGAATATGTCCCCAGCAACTCCGTGACTTGTTTGATTTTATTTATCATATCCAGATGGCGTGTAGTATTGCTCACAATATCAATCACTGGATTGTCTGGTCCAGGCTTAATTATTAACATGCCGTTGTCATATAGGTGGAATATTGCCGAGTGCAGTGTTAAGCAGCAAACACACTCTGAATACCTTTGAGACGGACAACAATAACTCCAAGACCCAACTGTCATGGTGACAGGATCAATAACTAGATATTTATTTTAGCCTCTTAGTATTTACTCATATGGAATCAATCTCATTGGGTACATATATTTCCTTGTTATTCTGTATATTTTTCCTTGCTTAGCATTGTTTTGGGTCCAGTCTGTTGGGTATTTGTAAACCAAAAAGTAAAAAAATAAATAAAATCTGCTCAGAATGCAATTGTGTGTTTGTGCTATTGTCCAAAGTGTGTCCCATGTTGCAACAGCTAACAAAAGCAATATGAGTCTAAGTAACAATATGCAAGGTGTAGCCATTTGTGCACTATTCACTGCAGTACAGAGTTCATTTATGTGATTAAAGCATTCTATCAATCATGTTGGTAAATAGCAAATTAAGAAATTGGCACCAGTCCTATAGTCCATGCCAAACTGCCCAATAGGGTATGGGTACAGTCTAATGCTATTGTAGACGTTACTTTTGGGGCTATGGGTACAGTCTACTGCTATTGTAGATGTTACTTGTGGGGCTATGGGTACAGTCTACTGCTATTGTAGACCTTACTTGTGGGGCTATGGGTACAGTCTACTGCTATTGTAGACGTTACTTGTGGGGCTATGGGCACAGTCTACTGCTATTGTAGACGTTACTTGTGGGGCTATGGGTACAGTCTACTGCTATTGTAGACGTTACTTGTGGGTCTGTGGGTACAGTCTACTGCTATTGTAGACGTTACTTGTGGGGCTATGGGTACAGTCTACTGCTATTGTAGACGTTACTTGTGGGGCTA